AGTAGCCATACTGATATATATTATAGTCAAATGACCTTGTCACATGATTCCTTAATATAATAATTCAAAGAGAAGTTGCCTGTCAGAAGATTGATTTGATAACTTTTTAAGTAACCCATCAAATATAAGTCATCAGCAGACTTACAATGTATGACTTTTTAAATAACAAATTAGACCTTGGATCATTTTGAAATTCTTAGTATGTGTCCTAAGAATAGTAAGATGACAGTGCTTAATGCTGAAAGAATGGTTGTAATGACTGCAGCATACTTGATTAATAAACTTAAGGAACTACATTTATGTAGCAATGTCAAGCCTTGCTTGTATATATATGTGGTCATTCTTTGTAGACTGAGTATAGAATACTAGTATAATTTTACAAAGATCTATATGATAGCTACAGTATCTAGTTCACACGTGATGATATGTTATCTGTCATCATCAAATACATTTAAGACCCTGTTCATACCAGACTTATATAAACCGGTTGAAACCGCTAAATAATTAACCTGGCAAAAACCCGTCGCGTTCACACCAGACTTACAAAACCGGTTTTTCAAAAACCCTGTCCAGCGAATATCCGGTTAATCGGCCATTACCAGGCTTCTCCAACATTTTTCGGTAGAGACCTCAATAGAGCCCTCCCCCCAGCTTTTTCGAATTCGGCGATCAACTCCTGCTCTCCAAAAATACGTATCGGGAGCGTCTCGTCCACCGACCAGGTTGCGTTGGCTGATTCCATCGTAAAAATGAAGAGAAACCGTGGAAAAACAGTGGAAACGGTCTAAACAGCGCGATCAAAAAAGCTTGGAGGTCGCACACGGCCAGGATGCTGACCCCATGACCCCAGAATTATGACGCAAAAACCGGTTCAATAAACCCTTAGCGTTCAGACCAGGTTTTTCGGTGGAAAAACCCCTCAAAAACCACCTCCCGAGGTGGTTTTTGAAAATCGGATTTAAACCCCTAAAAACCGGTTAATTTGCATTCACACCAGGTTAAATAAAAACCGGTTTTTGAAAAACCGGTTGAAACCGCTAAATATAAGTCTGGTATGAACAGGGTCTAAGAGAGAACTGCTATATACTGCAGGTTTAGTACTGTACTCTCCAAGCAGAGGTTAGGGTTTTGAGTTATTTTTTGCGTGTTTTTAAACTTTTTATCAGGGTTTATTTCTTGCACTGGAATTTTGAAAGAAAAATTCCAGTGCAAAAAAAGAAACCCTGACAAAGTAAGTCTAAAACTTTAAAAACACGCCCCAAATAACCCAAAACCCTAACCCTGGCTTGGAGAGTACAGCTTTAGAACTACACAATTCCCATCACCAGTAAAAATTTGTTTCCCTTCTTACACAAGTTACAGTGACTTCAATATAGGCCTCAATAAAACCTTCTCTGAGACTGAAGTGTCCAGGCACATTATGCCTACTTGACTTTGGAGTAAACATTATATAGCAGGCATTATTACCCTATCAGCATTAATACGATGGCAGAGCATTGTAAAGTATATTCTTTATGAGGGTAAAGAACTTCAGTTGTTTGCAATCCTCTTCTAAGTGTACCATAATTATAACACTGTACCAATAATCGCAGAAGTCAATGTCCTTTCACAATTCAGCACCGAACAAAAAAAGAAGCAGGCATGTTACTCATCCAGAAACTTCCCATTGTACAGACTTTTGTGCTCTTCATTATGACCTTTCGAATTGTTGCCAGTTTTAATACGACTACAGATGAGCCTGGTGAGGAATCAGCAGTCACAAATGCTGAGCTAGCTTCACAGCTGGGGAGAATGGAGCAGCAGACATACCTACTACAAGGTAAAGGGAGACATGTTCAGCCTGTATATAAAATATATATATGATGGTACTGGTTTAGTTATGTAAGTTTATACAAAATTAATGTACAAAAGTCATGTACTTTGCAAAGCCACCTTCTTGTTGAAACATTTTGTGACCATTTGAATTTTACTGGCACCTCATTATTAAGTTATGATGCTGTGATATATAACTTTACTTCTTGAGGCCACACATTGGCTCGAGATCAAAGGAGTACTAGTATATTGCACTGGTCATAAAAGAAATGATCAGTAAACCTGAAACAATAGTGCCACAAATCAATGTAAACTTGTAAAAGGTCTGAAACTGATAAACACACGGGTGGATGGTGAATTAACCAAAGGAGAAGGAACAAATAAAGGGAGGAAGGAAGGAAGGAGGGAAGGAAGGAAGGATGGAAGGAAGGGAAGGAAGGAAGGATACAAGGAAGGAAGGTGGGAAGGAAGGATGGATGGAAGGGAGGGAAGGAAGGACGAAAGGATGGAAGGAAGGAAGGAGGAAGGAAGCTTAAGGAAGGATGGATGGAAGGGAAGGAAGGAAGGATGGAAGGAATTAAGGGAGGGATGAGGAAAGGAAGGAGGAAAGGAGGAAGGGAGGGAGAGAAGACAGAATGAATGAATGAAGGAAGGAAGGAAGGAAGGGTGATATAGAAGGAAGGAGGGAAGCAAGAAAGGAAGGAAGGAATGAGAAGGATGGAAGGAAGGAATAAGAAGGATGGAAGGAAAAATGGAAAGAAAAAGAATGTTTCTTAAAATAGATCTCTAACTTATTACTTGAAGTGTCATAACTGATTCTTAACTTCATGTTTCAGATCAGGTCAACACATTGCAACTGGAGGTAGAGAGCATCTGGAAACAGTTCTTCTTGGCTCAGGCACAGAAACACAAGAAACTGGCCGACCTGTATACCGAATTAGCAACACAACAGGCACAGATGGTCGATGCAATGGACAACATGGTAGAGACTGTGAGGTCCTTCAAGGCAACTTCAGCCAAAGCAAAAGATTTCCAGAAAAAGATGGAAGAAGCCTTGTGTCATGCAACACCACCTCTCGGTAAGAAAAAACAACTTGTAACACTCATCAATTTACATGTATTACTTCATGGTGTAGAGTTCCTTAGTAAATGTTATCAACTTAGACATTGCAAGTATTTAATTTCCGTAACTGCTTTAAGTTCATGTAATAAAAAAGAGTACGTAATGTCTTGGCTGAAAACATAGTCATGTCAGAACAACAATAAATTTGTAGTGCAGTCCTGCCCCCTATCAACTCTTAATGGAATAGCAGCTATATCTATTATCTATTTCTCCTTTGAAACTGCAGGGCATTTGTTCCAGCTTGCTTCCCCACAAGGCCAGTATGAGTACAGTTTGGAAGAGGCAGACAGGGCATGTAGGGAACATGGCAGCTGGCTGGCTCAGTATCCACAACTCCTCAAACTAGACAGGTTAGATGGCAACCTTCTGAGATTCGAGGGCAATCCACTAACATCTTTCGAGCTTTGCTTTGAAACTTTGTTTGTACAAACATATACCTGTAATGCTTTCCAGTAGTCAATGTTGATTCAAATATATCGATGACATCTGCGCAGGTATGAATTTTTGTCCGATTCCAAATTTTTTTTTCCATACTGTAAATCGTACAAAGTAGCTGCAAAATAAGCAAACATATGCCGTAAACTGAAAATAAAGGAAAACGATACCTATGTCGCAGAATGCCAAAATCCATTCCAAAGGACAAGAAGGAAATGTAAAGGAATGAAACTGAAGAGTCTATTATTCACCATGCCAATTAAAAAAAAAATTGTTCAACCTTCATGACAACCTAGTTTCATAAATGAACTTTTTTTTGCCTTGGACTTTTTTTTATTCACACGCTCGCATCAGTTTGGGGTTCCCATAGGATGTCATCCATATAATCAAATCAACATGGCCTTATCTGAACAATGGCTATAAGCCTATAACTAATATATTTCAATGACAGGATGGAGTCTGGACTATACCAATGTGGGTGGGTAGAGGGAGGGACAGCATACCACCCAGTCTGGGAGGAGACTGCCAGTTGTCATGGCAATGAGTGCATCCGCATCAAGACTTGTGACAAGAGAGACAAACACAATGCCTGGTGTTTCCAACCCTTCAGTATCTGTCCACAGTTGACCGAGAAACTGCAGTAGTTCACAATGCTTTAGAAGGCCAGAATATACACCTGGTTAAAATACCCTGGTTGAGTCGACAGAAACTTTGTTGCTTGATTTTCTTTCTTTCTTTCTTCAGGTACGTGTACACAAGAGCAAATGACAACCAGTGATTTTGTATGTTTTAGTGTGAATGGTTTCATTGTCCCAATGTATCAACTGAGTATGTTCGTGTACATGTATAATGTCCTTGGTTGAGTGTATCTTTGATGTCAATGCATCATTAATGTTTCCTTGCAATATTTCTGTATTTCTTTTTTTTTTCAAGCCCACATCTAAAGCAAAAGAGCTACTACAAAAGTGCAACAATTGAACTATAACATGTGCATCTTAAAAGGGCTTTAATTAGCTGTGCAATGAATGCTTTTATACATGTATGTTTGAGAATAAAGACATCTCTGTTGGTACTGAAAGCATGTGTCACTTTTTTTTTTTGGGGGGGGGGGTCAACTAACCCGGGCTATCTCTCTATAGTCAGGTCACTTGTCTATAGTGGTCAAATTTAGCCAGTCCCTTGAGTGACCACTATAGACAGGTTCGACTGTATACTGAAATACTTAGGGCTCTTAATACTTTTTATTGCATATTTGTTACTGTCCAATGCAGGTAACAATGAAAATTACCTGCACCAAACAAATTTTACCTGTGCCTCAGAGAATTTAAGAAGAGTGCGTGGATCATAATGTTCTGAAACCATTGCCATTTTTAAATTATACGTCATACTGTTATAAGTGGTAACAGCCAATGAAACAAACAAAAATCTACATACACCTACAGACAAAGTACATGGCTCAGTGTAGGTAGACGTCAGAAATACATTTTGTACCTACACAGCTCAAGTTCTATCTGTGCTAACTTGCATATGAAATAAGTATTTCAAGCCCTAAGGGGTACATTTTGGCCATGGGTACGTCCTGCCCTGCTACACATGTTGAATATTCATGAGCATGTATATGTGATATTACCTTTCTGGTCTGTCTGTAACAGGATTTCCAATTTGGCACAGAAGCGGTGCAGAGTTGTGTTGTCATCTGTGATTGGCTCCTGGATGTCTGTGAAGTACTGTTGTTTCAACTCAGTGATGCATTCTGGAATAAACAGAAAGAATCTTAATTTAATTTTATTAAAAAAACGAGGCTTGAGGTTAATTTTTGGGAGTATACAAACATGTAGTACAGCAAATGGAACAGCAGCACAACAGCTACTTAAAATATAGCTCCAATCCTGCGTAGACAAAAGTACATATAATGCACCCAGTATTTCCAGTCCTGACTCGCCCTGACTTATGTTGTAATCACAGTACATGTATGTAAAACAAAAGGATATACAAAAGAATAAGGAAAATGTTTGTTAAATTCACATTACAGTCACATACATGTACTTTTATTGTAGTATAATGCGTACAATCTGTTCTACAATTAAGATATTTTGGGGATTGATATATAAAGAATAAATTTTTCTGTCTTGGTATTGATATTACAGTATTAAGTATGGAATTGAACAGAGATGGGGTTTTGTGCGCGTGAAAAATTTGCGCGTGAAAAACTTGCGCGTGAAAAATCTGCGCGTGAAGATATGCAAATTAGCTGATTCCCGAGGGATTCGAAAACTTTTTGCTTGCATTCTAGACTGCATAGCCTTGTTTTGTCCATTTTTCTGTGATTTCAGGTGATTTTGAAAGGTTAAGTTTTCACGCGCAAAAAAGGTTAAAATTTGCGCGTGAAAGAATTTGTTTAAGAAAGCATTAAATCAAACTTCTAGAATGGAGAAAAGCTTCAGATTGTTACATTTGACCATCCTAAACCTCATACTAGTAACTTTTCCATGTATTTCCTACAAATTCAAGTGATTTTCAAAAGTTCAGTTTTATGGAAAGTATGCAAATTAGCTTATTCCCAAGGGACCAACATTTTGAAACAAAAATTTTGGCTAACAGCGAAAATTATACCAGAGGACAACATTTTCCTGCTTAAGAATTTGGTACTGCATATTTATATTTCAGTCCATACCATGGTATGGATGAAATATATTGTGTTCCCTCATGTTTCTTCTTCTCCTTCTCCTCCTTCTCCTCCTTCTCCTCCTGCCACACAGTCAAAGGGATTCAACTCTGTCATTTTTTAGTCAAATGACCTGAAATTTGGCAAGGAGGTAGAGTGGGCCAATACCCCTAGGCGTTTTTTTCATTTTTTTGATACATGCCTTTGAAAAATTTTTATGAAGGTTTTTTGGGGCATTTTTCGACAAAAAATGGATTTTTGGATCCTGAGCGCTGGTTTTACAACCAAATGATCTGAAATTCGGTATAAGGGTACCTTGAACATGTGTCTACAGAATAGCAGTCACATGTTTGGCATACACCATTTCCAAATGACTCATTTAGGGGACTTTAATGGCTATTTTCAGTCAAAAAGGGGCCAAAAGTGCTGTACCCGTTCCACGTTCGATCTAAAGAATGCCCGTTCTATCTGCCGTTGGCCATCGAACACATCGAACATTGCGGGTTACCTGAGGTCACGTTGTACGTAAGTCGTGCACAATGACCCACACATTCAATTTTATGTAACGTTACCTAGTATTTTTACGTCATCAGTCATCTACAATCACGACGAGGGAATATGCAGACCATCCTAATCCTGGGTGCCGCAAAGTTTTTCGGAAGGTATGTGTAACTTGTAAGAAAATGTTCGTCACTCCCGGCGCGGCACAAGAACTGATGCCGACTAAATGGTTCGCTACCTGAGGACTTTTCCACAACCCATGATGATATTATACTTATATTAGAAAGGAATATGTTATAGATCAATCATGTTGAAATGATAATTGTAATACATGGTTCTATTTAATATCGGTAGTTTTGTTTCTTATTTTGATGGGGGAGGACTGTCAAAAATACGAGGGGGACGGCAAACCGATATCGGCGCACTTCCGGGTGCATAACGCCAAAATTTCTCGACGATTGTGTAAAAATGACCACTCATTTGCCGCCTCCGGTAGCGTGTACATGGTAGTGCGATCATATTGTGCCGAAGTCAGCGTCAAACGTCAAAAAAGCCGCGTAAAAATATACATGTAGTTGCAAAACACATTTCCAGCCGCGCTCAGCAGAGCTTCGCTGTCACAAACAGCACGGACCCGGACGGACCCTGCATGCTTCATTAACATATGCAAGTAGCAACGCACTGCTACGCTCTGATTGGTTCACCTTTGATGACCTGCGCTCTGATTGGCTAGAACGAAGCCGGCTGCATGCCGGGGCGCGCGAAGTGAAGAGAACTCGAGCCACATGTTTACGCTGCTTTATACCTTATTTCTACGACTAATTAGCAACATCCTAGTGACAAAATGCGTACTCAAAAGAATTTTTTTCGGGAATAAATATATATGTACATGTGGGATTGTGGTGCCTTTGGCGTAATTTTGTTGGTCACGTACAACGTAATGTAACACGGAAGTGCACGGAGTCGGACGATTATGGAGTCGCGGCACGGCTTTCCGTCCGGTCCCACTCTAAACAAAAAGGACATAACAAAACTCCCCAAAACTGGCCTAGAATTAGCCATAAAATGTTTGCAGGCACGTGTAAATATGCTGCCTTTTTTGGAGTGTTATAGGCATTTTCCGCGATGTTTTTGCACATCCCTAACGTTACCTCACGCCCGCCGCCTATTACAATGTACGGCGGACCGGGGCATTTATAACTTCAGATCAGGCCACACCAATTTAATTTCTTGGTTAACGGATTTTTCTAGAAAAAAAATGGAGCGGGCGGGCGAAAAAAAATAAAAATAAAAATTTGAGACTACAACCATGTAGTAAGCAATCCATTAAGTTAAGTTACAAAATGATATAAGACATTATATTGGACACTTATTGAACTGAAAGGACCATTACTACATGAGCAACTTCTCTTACATCTCTTAAAAATTATTTGTATAATTTTGCAAGATACACATCTTTACTGTACGAACAACAAAATGTCAGTTGACAAGACTCCGATCCAACTGATTTCACTTTTATTCATCTTTCAAAGTTCCAAAGAGTGGTTTAAATCAGGGTGCTCTGTTCAGATCCCATTGTTTTCTTACAGTTCAGGGCACACAGCTTACCACTGTGCTGGGCATTCTGTTGTGTCTGGCTGATATGGAAGTTATTTAGAGCTTGAAATTTACAATATCCTAAATATTTGCTTTTAACTAATTTTAACTAATTAGACAAATTTCCAGGAATGTTTAAAGGTTATTGGCAAAAGAATTAACTATTTTAACAGATATTTTATTTCTTTTTTTATCTTTCCCAAATACTACCGGTAGTATCCATTTTATATTTCCCATTCTACACTTTAGGTACATGTATGCTACAGCTACATTATAAATAGCCATAATTCAAACAAATAGCCACATTTAGCCACTAAACTAAACATTGACACACTCTTCAAGTTGCCACAAATTCAATGGTCTAGGGTTTCACTATTAAGTCTCTGATGTATGGGGATTTTTTATTTGTAGGGGGAACCATTTTATTAAAAAAATTAAGATGTAATGATGTATTATTTTCAATTGTACTCTTGTTTATAGTTATCTAAATAAGATGTAACTTTGTTAGAATGCCACATGCACATGTAGTATTTTTCACAGAGTAACGTTAATTTCTATAATTAAAAGGGACTGTTTCCCCCTACACGAGGTGGACTCTTCCGACCGTGAGAAAGCTCTAGAGTTGCTTTAGTGCATGGAGGACTTTTTACTTTGCCAAATTCCCATGTTTGTGGTAGGATTTTGACTTTTTGAGAGTAGTACAGTTAGTGATGCCAGAATACATTGTTATGTCGTGTTATTTTTTTACATATTCCCTGGAAAAAGATCGTTTTGAAGGTGGGTGTGCATGTGCCGCCCAGGCCGACTTACGTTCGGCCGATTACTTTTAACGCCCGTTACTAGCACATGTTTCCGACACAATACGTGTTCCTAAATATAATATAAATCCAAAAGGGAGATGGTATGTTGTTACAGGTACGATGACTTTGTAAATCTGCCGTACGTTTGTCGTCAGTGAAGTTTTGTCCCATGAATGGTGACATGTGCAAAGGGGGTGGGGGCGAGTTCTATATCAAAAGAATTTGACGAACTTTTGAAGAGGCAACCTAGCTTTCCGAACAAATTGCACTCAGAAAAATAGTTTCTGCCTTAAAGCAATGTATTTTTAACGCTCTTAACTATGCCCAAATTTTGAAAAATTACAACGTACCGGGTGGATTTTGAGGCCCCCAATTCGGGACCCGAGAGTATGGATTTTTGTTCTGTTTTATTTTATTTCATTTTGGCAAAAAACGAAGCGGCGAATCCGTTAACCAAGGAAATAAATTGGTGTGGCCTCATCTAGGATTGCATATTCGGTGGTAAAGTAAGTAAACAAACAGAGAAAAACAGTAAAATAAAGTTGACAAACTATAGAAACGCTTGCCTGGGCAACAGTGACAAAAGAAAATATCGATCTAATTGATGCACCGGTGATCGTTAAAACGTTTTAAACGTTACAATATAGTAAAATGCAGGCTAGATCAACGTTCCTTCCGCTGTTCCAGCAGTGCGCCGGTAGTAAATCATGCAGTACTAGCGCGTTTGTAAACGGGACAGTAACGAAAAAGTAACCAGTTAGTAACGGAAAACTAACGAGTTAGAAATGCGATCATAGTAACGGTGGTGATTGTAACTATAACGGGAACGGTACTGTAGTAGTTTCATAGTATACACAAATCATGTATAGCATATTCAACATCTGATATTTGTAGTTGCGTGGTATATGTATGATATATATAATCATGTCAATCATATGTAGATTATTCAATATATGAATGTAGTGTTTTATAGTATATGTAAGTCATGTACATCTTATTCAATATTTATGTATAGTTCAATATGTATGTATGTATAGTTTTATAGTTCATCTATATATATTTACAAAGTTATGTATAGTTTCCTTTTCTTTGCAATTAGACCTTCAAAATGTATCAAATCTCATCATTGTTAGTATTTACATACCTGCTATAAGATTGTGCGATATATAAGAGTGATGTGAAATTTTGTAAGTAAAGCTGTCGAGATTCAAAGTGCTGATCTTGCATCTTTGTTCTCAATTACATAGCTCTAATATAATTCATTTATTTGAGAATCTTCCAGTTTTGCACTGGGGTGAGTTTGGAATAGTCCACTTTTGCGTGGGAGGGAGATGGACTGAAATATGCTGTATTTGCTCCCAAGCAAATGTCGGCCTTTCTAGTTTCTAACATATTTCTGGGACTTTTATTTTTCATGCGCAAGTTTTTCACGCGCAAATTTTTCACGCGCAGAAAACCCGTTCCAATTGAACATAGTAACTTTAACTGTGGTTGTCCAACCTCCTAAGTTTACATTGGTGTCATCACTAGCATATTGACAGACACATGTAGAATGTACTGTGCCTGCCACAAACCCTGACTTTTCACGGTTTTCGTTGGATTTTTGGTCAATGTCTCATCTGAATTTCAGACGACATCTTTTCCGACATAACATTCGGAAAGTACAGACGGGATGTTAACCTTATATACACAAGTACAACCTTATATGAGATGTTCTGCTAATAATACATTACGGGTTTTGCACAGGTGCAGTACATGTACATTCTGCTGATGTGTTGTCATCACTAAGGTCTCTGGCAAGTCCTTCCATGACCACTCTACTGCTGTTGCCTCTTAATGATTTTCTATTAAAATTTAGATATCGTTACCTTCGACGTCTTTGATGAGTTTCTGCACCTGTGGGTTGGCAGGGGGTGCAGTTGCCATGGTGATGTTTTGTCGGAGTAGCTACTGCCACATGTCCAACCCTGGAATACAGTATATCAAGTCAACACAGAACATTAGGCAGCATGTTTTGTACAATCATTCTCTTCAACTTTAACACAGCAAATTAAGCCTGTTACTTACTACAACATGTGCACGTGCATCTAAGGCCTAGGAAAAAACATGTTGTGTTTCCTGTTTCCCGACCGACCCTAGAAAAAACTGCCCACCCTACTAGTAGCCTTTTTTGTATGTGGATCCCTGCAAGGGACAGAATTTTTTCTGAGCTGACCGACCTTTTCCATGATCTGACACCTGAGTGATGAAACATTGTACAACTGGTTTTCTAACATAGACATTGAACATATAAGTGTTCTCATGCAAGTTTTACTTTGTTAAACTGTATATGTATAAGCAAGGAGCTCCTAATGGTATAATGGTATCAACACCCAACATAGAGCTTTCTCTATATATGTATACCAATTAATAACATCACTTGATCATCCATATGAACATCACCAGTAGCCAGTATCAGGCAGCTAAACAGATACAGATACCTGAAATGTCTGACCATTATTGTATCCAGTTGCTTGAGTACTAGTAACTGTTTTTTGACGTAGAGTATAATGCACATTTTTAAGCTCACTGGGTCCCTCATCATTTCATTATGCAGTTTTATCAATGGATGTTGACTTTTTATGGCCATGTGATTAGGTGAAATGATTAACTACTATAATCTGTAATGTTATACATGTATATCAATATTTATATTTGGGGGCGTGACGCGTGTACAATCTTGGGTCAAAATCAACACTTTTGCAATGGCATTTCAAGCACTCTACGGGCATAGTGCATGCAAATACATTTACAGTTATGCTAATATACTGATAAAATAAAATCAGGTACTTCTCTATGAACACGGAGTAACAATTATGGTAAAATAAATTTCGTCTGCTTTAGCTTTATAAAAGCTTTAGAATATGAAATTTTGCACATGTTTACGTGATATCGGAGAATTTCAATGTTTGGAATTTTTCTCAAGTTTCTTACCAGTACCACTTTAAAGCTTCTGAGTTTATCTACTGATTCAACATGTACTACGTGTTGACTGCCATGTTTTTGTTTCGCAGGAGGAATTTTTTTCTTGGTCATGCGACTTCCCGTGATCATAAGGGGGAGGGGAGGTTGCAGATATGGATGGAAGACATCATGTCTTTGTTTACGTACGATTCCAGCGTCGTTTAATAAACAATTTAAAGAAGCTATAAATAAGAAAAGGTATGTTATCTTCTTCTAGACGTCCAACTTTTAGAAAATGTAAGAAATACTTGCAGAAAGTTGCTAAAAACCTTGAAAAATCAGCCCACAGTCAGTCGTCTGCGAAGTTAACTTGTCGGTCATGTGACTTTGTGGATATGGGTCAGACCACTCTGGAAACAGGGGAGTAAAGTTTTGTAAACTTAAAGTCTGGAAAGGTTAAATTCATTAGTTTTTAATAATTATAAAGACATTAATTTAAGACAGGTATATAAGTAAGATTTAACATATTAAAATTAAAATGTCTATAAATTCTTTTTCTTTTAAAACATATCTAATTTTTTCATTAGAAAAAGAAAAATTCTTCCCAAAAGAACATTAGAATCTTCTGCTCTCGCGACATTTTCTCATCTCGCGAGAGGTCATGCCTTGAGGTCACGCCATTTTGGAGGAACAATTTTCTAGGGAAATAATTTTCCCGAGGTAAGATTTCCTTTGTTTATTTTAATTTACCGGTCATTTACTAACACAAAACAGTGTGCATTTGTTTGTCAAGACTTTTAAGAACAAAGTTAATGCAGAATATTTGATGCAAATAGAAGAGTTAGAGAAGAATAGTCGGTAATAAGACAAGGCATGGGGCATCATAATATCAAGTCGCGTGATTGTCTTTATTCCTTTCTTGACAAAATTTATGAGAGCCAGCTGGTCACAAGAACAGATTCCACGTGTTTGTATCTTTGGATAATAATTTTGTTGTTGTTGTTTTGATTCCCTGTACGTCACAACAAACATAGCTTACTAAATAGCTTATCAAGACAAGAAATTATTATGCTGGATTCTGGAAATATAATTTATAGCGTCAGTCTTTCTTTTTATCAACCCGAGCAAAAATTATTATTTCAAACGTTATTCTCATTTTATTGATGTATGATTTTTGAAGTGATTTTTGTCTGTTGTTGTCCTTACTTGCGCCCTCTTGTACCACTTATGGAAGGTCAAAGGTTATGTTTGGAATGATTGGCAGCTACAGATGATATAATGTTTTGGGTAAATCGAAATATTACTAGTTACATGTATTTGCAATAAGCTTTTTACAAATGTGCATATGTGGAAACAAATTTTTTACAATTTTTTTCCTATTTATTTCTCTTACATACTTAACAAATCTCCTACCTTATTAAATAAGTTATTTAGTTATTATTGAGGTAACAAAAAGGGCCAGCATTATACACTATACAGAGAATCGCATAAACACAATACATAGACATATAAATTTAAATGGGCTGTCAGAAATCGAACCCCTGGCCGCAAGCTTGTGACCCCAACGCCTTAACCGCTAGGCCAAAAGGTCCAAGGCCGAATGGACTGGGTCAATTACTGGCACTTAAACCTCAGTTACATTCACACAAGTGAACATACATATACTAGTAGGAATGTCCTATGCAGAATCTGGAATGATTCTGACATATTTGTGACATTTGCTTGTCAATCTCACATATTGTTTTAGGTATTATCATATGCGTACAATGGTATGTTTGTTTTAGTAACAAAAATGTTTACAGTGTCTCTGCTAACAGATAGGAATTTGCCTCTGTATGTTTGTCTCCTCTTCTGATAAGAATAGCTTTGCAAACAAAGCATTCCAAATCAAAGTTGTTTGTAGAGTCAGAATCCTTTCATCCATAATAAAATATGTCTTCAGACCAAGATTGAAAAGGATTTCCCCTACTGCCAAGTTTTGGAGTGAATTATTAATTTAAAAATGTTTACATGTACATGTATCATGATTTCCACACTTGCACACACTAACACCACGTTCACAGTGAAACTTGTCGATGCGGATCGGCCGCCGATCGGGATCAACAAATTTCACTGTGAACGGGGCTTATATCATTATCTCTCCTTTCCACCAGTGGACTGATGTTAAGAAGTAAACTAGTAGTAACAGTTCTAGTGTTATCGTTTTATACATCTGTAAAGAAAAGAGCTTGAACATAATTCTGAAAGAACAGATAAAAAACCTGAGGCACTAAATATTGGTATTGTGATGATATTACAAGAAGTAGACAGTGACAGATAGTTAACAGCTGAAAATTTCTTCTAAAGTTGTTCAGTTTCGAGGGTTGGAATTAGGAAAGCTCAGTGGGCAAAATCTGAAGGCCACCATCTCTTCTTGTTTATTAGAATCTATAGCTAGTACCTTCTGTCAAATGCTAGGAATGGTCTTGATCCTTATTTTGAGGCTTGACAGTTGACTGTTTATGAAGGCTATGTGCAAACACACATGATGGCAGTGTCCATGAATATCGTAGATCACGATATTTTTGGAGTTTTATTTTACAATTTTCACTGTGTTCCAAATTTGCCCATGGAACACTTCTGTAGCACAGTACTTAGTCATACAACTTCAAGGGAGACAAGGTTGCGGTGTCATAAATTTGCAATGGAGAGACTGTGCAAAAAACTGAAAATAAAATCACCGCAAAAGTTTCCCGATGTACGGTAACTGTGGCCAGCAGTAATCCTGTGTCCTGATGCGGATAACAAGCTTAGAGAGGTCAGTTGGTTCTGTTGAGCTGACCAAAATAGCCTTAACCATTGACAGAGCCACCCTTGTGAGGTTGGACAGGGCTCGAAATTAACGGTGTCCCAATGGCCAGTGACCACTAAACCTTAAGCTGGGACAACCTGAACTAAAAAGACAATTTGGGACAATAGAAAAATATTTAACATCAGAATGTCAGCCCTTCTTTTGTTTGGCTCCGGAAAAATCCCCTCAAATTTCCCATTTACTCTACAATTATAGTGTGCCTGGAAGTCAGATCATAAGCAAAATAAAGCTGACTCTAATGTCCAAGTTCACTTCCTGAAAAACAGGTTGGGACTGTTCATCCTCACTTCGGGACAATTGAATTTTATTTTCGGGACAGTGCTGGGACAATAGGAAAAAAAAAAGTTAATTTCGAGGCCTGGTTGGAGGCCATGGCAGTCAGGGAGGGTTATGGTTGGTATGTACAGCTTGTCAGGGACTGTGTGGACAGCCTTGTCACTCTGGGTGTAGCTGTCATATTTTATTGAAGAGGTACTGGCTACGTATGGTACTCTGATAAAAGCATACCTGTTGAAATGCCAACCACTTTCTTGTAGTTTGATATTGACATTTGTATTTTGAATGTCCACATGTGTACTGCAGTGTACCACTTACATGACTGCTGAATTGATATTCATGTCATGGGCCTGTTTTTAGGAACAATATATAATATACCCTGGAAGCCAGAACTCATTTTCTGGGCCGCAAGAGCCCTTCGCCCGCTGGTGTAAACTACCGCTACGGGGGAGTCTAGCCCGGGGGGAGTTTGGCTGGCCCTACATCCCTCGGGCTCAACTCCCCCGTAGCGGTAATTTAGGTAGGCGTTCGAAGGGCTCTTGGCTGCCGAAGGAAAACGGCTAACGGCCGGATACTAGTTTTGGTATCCAGGGCATATATAGACCGTCAGCAAGGTAAGAGAGGCTTAATTTTCAAGAATTTGGCTCAATGATTGTTTTGATGAAGAGGAGCTGTCTTTGCTGGACTGTGTATTCAGACAAAACATGAAGTAAAGGTCGCCAAACAACTCAGTGTTTCTCTAGCTTTTCCCATTTACAATGCACACAACATAATTGATTCGGAATTTTCTGCTTTGAACTGTTTGAATGTGAAGGCTTAAGTTTGAATCTGAAGGCTCATGCAGCAGATTATCTGCAGGTATCTCAAGATGGCGGGACCAAAGCATCGCCCCAGGTGTTTCTTCGACATTGAAGTCAACGGAACACCAGGTATGGACTGGCCATGTCAAGACTTTTTAACTTACTGTACAGTACCAGATGTATGATGATGCTAAATATAATAATATACATCACAATTTCAGAAAAATGGAGTCAATCAATTGAATACAAATTACATGTGCTTAAAGTAAAAAATTGATGAGTGGAGCCGTGTGGTCTGATCTATTATTATAATTTCTTACTCATTTTAATCTTTATTAACATGCCTTTACTACATACACTGTATATTTCTACTTGTAAAATTCTTGATGTAAAGTGCTTTTTCCTATTCAAACTTGATCTGGTGCTAGGACCTAGGAAAAAAATTATGTGTTTCCTGTTTCCCGACTGACCCTAGCTAGATAGAAAAAACTGATGACCTTAGACTTTTTTTTGACTCCTGCAAGGGACATAAATTTTTTGAGCTGATCAACTTTTTCTAGCTCCCTGATTTGACACCTCAGAGTGATGAAACATTGTACAATTGTTTTTCCAACATTGACATTGAACATATAAGTGTCATCTTGCAAGTTTTACTTTGTTGAACTGTTAACTTGGATCACTACAGAATGCCAATGTCTAAAAAAAAAAAAGAAAACAAAATAAGGTAATCCTTTCCTACCGACCCAATTTTTTTAGGGGACAGAAACAGGAAACACAACATTTTTTTTTCCTAGGCCTAGTCATTGTTTTGGCTTTCAAGAACAAGCAAATTGATTAAACCATCCCTCCAGGACAATACTAACATATAGGTGTGAGTGTATAATTGATCCCATCTGTTCCCTATTTCTAGCGGGGAGGGTGGTGATGGAACTATACAGCGACGTCTGCTTCAAGACTTGCGAGAACTTCCGCTGCCTTTGTACAGGTAACATCCTTAAGACTTTTCCAAGAAACTTGCTATCCAGGGTTCTAGCTAGGATTTAATTTTAGCGTAGTGGCACTGGCCGCATGATGAGGGAGCGAAGCAGAGCTTTTAAAGACTTGAGCTTAAAAAGAGGTCATTTGAGGGATACCCAAAGGGAAAAAATGCTATTTCTAATTTTACACATTTGATCTGGCATTCTTGAACAAAGAAATACAGTCACAATGCCCCTATGCTGTATTGAAAATTAGCATGGGGGGGGGGGAAGTTAGCGTAGGGAGTCAAAATTATAGCATAGGGGGGAAATTTAGCGTAGGGGGTCAAAATTATAGCGTAGGGGGCCCCTATGCTACTTTGCACTAGCTAGAACCCTGCAGTATCTATATTTTTCCTTTTTTGACATCTGTATGTCTGTTATGAGCACTGAAATCAGGGCAAGCAGGGACAAGCCCACTTGCCCAGGGCAAGTAAAAGCACTGTTCAGGCAAGTGCATATCCTGGACCTAATCGGGCAACTAAATTTCCTGGATGAAGCACTATGCCGCAGAATAGCTGTGTTTGGAGCAAAATTCTCTTCATTTTTCCATAAATATACTGTATTATACATGATTGTATAAACTAAGATAATTTTATCATAAACTGTCAGTCAAAAGTTTGCTTTTTTGTGAGAAAGTCCATTGGAAGTCTGTAAGTATTAAGAACGAAGGCATGCAACATTGTAAACTTCCTTATTTAAAGTGCTTTTGTACAGAAAAATAGAATAATTTCCTTGCTGCAAGGAAAAATTCATAGGAATATTGTCATACATGTAATTTGGGTCTATGAAAAGTTGGTTCAAGCAAGTGGAAATTACCATGTACTGGCCCAATAGCTAGGACGTGGATTTTTTTCGAACATTGGAATGTTGTAGGGTTGGTACATGTATTTCCATTACTGTACAGGGGAGAAGGGTCTAGGGAAGACAACAGGCAAGCTTCTCCACTACAAAGGCACACCCTTCCACCGGGTTGTCAAGGACTTCATGATTCAAGGAGGAGACTTCACTGAAGGTAAGACATAGACATAATTATTAATGAAAGTTCTTTATGGTAGAAGTCACTATGAAGCAAGTTCAAACTGTACTTTCCAATGCAAGAAATTGGACTTGGTCAAATTTTCCTCAGTTAAGAGGGGGGCGCCACAGACTTTCTGAAATGTATGATCCACTGCTCACTAGTGCTGCATACCTAAACCCAATTTTAGGTTCAGGTCCGGATTCAAGTCCAGAGGTTTAGGTTCAGTTCCGGACTTGTAAGTCCGGACCTAAACCCATGGCAATGCAAAATTGCATGTTGGCAACATTGCAATGTTGTCTGGGTGAAACTTTGGCCACATAACATGGAGGCCGATACTTGACGATGCCTGATGGCAATGTTTTCTTCGTTTTGCAGCAAAGATTTTACAATCTACGGAAGGTTTTAGGTGGTTTGGAAAGAAAAGGAGTATGTCAAATGGTCTTTTATGGTAATAAGTCCGGACTCGGTTCTTGACTTTCAGGTTTTTTTGGACTTGAACCTAAACATTCTTACAAGTCCGGATCTAAGTCCAGTAAACCGGTATGCATCACTACTGCTCACCGAGTCATGTGCGTCATCTGCATAATGTTGCATTCTTTGACAAAGACTGGAGTTGTTCAGTCGAAAGTCTAATTTGTTGTGTTGGAACACATTTTAAACATGCTTTATGAAGGTAAGACATCATGACTTCAAGTCTAGGGCTAGACTGCAACTTTGGTTGAAGTATATCCGATCGGAAGTATGTTTTTATGTTAGCGAAGGAAAACATATTGTTTTTGCTCTGTTTCTTCTTCCGTTCCAAATACTGACCTGGTCAATGACCTGAACCAGACGGTCGGTCACCATGGTAACTGGTGTTGGGTTACATAATGTTGCAATTTTATAGTAGGAGGAATTTAAACTCCTGTCACTCATAACAGAACAGACCAATTTTTTGTGTTATCTAATTCTAGTTGATTGTTAGAATTTGATATGGACTGTTAATAGTAATATATAGTTTAGTTCACCCCAAATGTTAATGTTTTGGTTTGTTTTATTTTTGTGCTTCTACAGGCAATGGACGGGGAGGGGAGTCCATCTATGGAGCCACGTTCAAAGGTAGTCCACAGGGGAAACCAGCAAACAGTATAAAATAGGATAAAATGTATTTAAGAATTCAAAGTATACATAGTCTTTTAAATTTTTTTTGCTTTTTTTACATGCAGGTATTTTACATTGAGGTATGGAAGTATTGTTTTGGGTTTTGAATTCTTGAGTTTAAATTTGTCCAAATAGCTGCAATTGCAAGGAGGTTGGGGGTAATTATAATTTATAGGGGGTTAAATCACAGCATAGGGGGTCCAAATTAGAGCATAGGGGGCCCCCTACACTCAAACAGCCTAGTGAGAACATTGGACTACATAAATATTACTTCATTCCAAGGAAGAAAAGTTATGTTTTTGGTTCCTCTGTATAATATTAATAACTAGTATGTCTTAGTTTTGCCAAATGGTGAAATTGTTTTGCTTAAACTTTGAAAGATGCATTTAAATGATAATTGTAAAAGATTTCAAGTTGTCAAGAACTACATGTTACTTTACATGGTTTTATATTCATCATAATGCTGTACTTTCCTTCTTTCAGATGAGAATTTCATTTTGAAACATGACCGTGAATTTCTCCTCTCAATGGCCAATCGTGGCAAAGATACCAATGGGTCACAATTCTTCATGTAAGTACAGCCGTGATTGGACGATGGTTTCAAAATCCCTCTTGTTAGTCCTCTTACTAAAGCTAGCCATAAGTTCTCTTTGTTTGTTATACATTTTGCTCATTTTCCCGGCATTTCTGTTCTAATATTTGCGTGAACAGGAATGTCTGATCTAATGTTCAGTCTGTCTTCGCTATAATGCATTGACCACTATGCTTAATATATTCAGTAGTCTGAAATATGGGGTTTCTAAGGGTGAAGGTATAAAAATGGTCTTTAGCTCTTCAAGGTCCTCAAATTTGGTTAAATTGTTGTACTGACAGAACTACTGTAAAACTGACTATTTTGCTGCCAATCTAAAAAGAAAAAATTAAATTTGAGATATTACAGTATGTATCTTGTTTTCTAACAAGTTAGATTTTTTAGTTCATTTGGAAAGATGTGCAAAAATAGTTTGTTTTACGGTGCATACATGTTTTCCCAGCCACATTAAAAAGTTGCAGCACGTGTGAGTCACATATGCATGTCTGTAGTCTGTCGCCCTCAGTACAGAGCCATATCAGTATATCTCACCTGGTCGCCCTTGTCAGGCAGGTCAAAGGTCATAGGTCACCATCAAAGGTCATAGGTCACTGTCAAAGGGTCACTCTCTAAGCATAGAATGAAAATTATGGATTGGCAGGTCAAAGGTCCTGGGTCATTGCCAAAGGTCATAGGTCACTACCAAAGGTTTCTTTCTAAGCATACCATGAAAAGGATTGATTGGCAGGTCAAAGGTCATGGGTCACTGCCAAAGGTCACATTCTAAGAATACCATGAAAAGGATTGAATTCTTTTGTCACATTGCAGTATTTTATGTATTTCTAAATCTGCTTTGCAAAAATAATAGTCAGTGAAATACATGTTTCTTAATATAGTATGGTGAATGGACCTTTAAACTGCTGAAAACAAGGGCGACTAGGAAGATTGTGCAGTAAAAGAAACAGAACAAAAGCACTGACAACTAGAACTCTAACCATACTGTAGATTCACCTTGCCTGGAATGTTTTTTTACATCTCTTTCTTGCCGTTTTGTTGTAAAATTTTTACAGAAAACAAATGTTATCATCCAGCGATGGAAAGGTAAATAGGTTTACCATGTAGTAAAGAGAAGCTTGTCTTTCATATCTACGTATTCCAATGTATGGGATACGTGCTTAATAAATAGTTCACTATGTCAATTTTACCTCAACCTTGTCATCGTTTTCCACTTTTAGAGTGAATGCAGTGCTCTTGGAGTATGGTAATTGCCATCCCACCTTTGCTAGTTTATTGGCTGCAGATCACGTGACTGTGTTGTCCAATCACTGATCGATTCCAGATCCATTGTCTAATGTTGAATTGATTTATTTCTTGATTATGCAAAATACGGAAAATCACTAGACAAAAAGAGGTTTTGTATATTTCTCCTGCTGAAATGTAATGATTTGTGTTGTTTGTGTGATCTTTGTTACTATCAAACTTGCTCCAGAATTTCACATAAGGTGGGATGGTAGAAATTTTATGTAAATTATGTAAATCTATAATGATATTTTCCTTGGGTGTTATCTTGTGACTATGTGTGCATGTAGTAGAGAAAGTAGACCACAAGAAGGCCCCTGCTCTTTCCTGCAAAATCCTCAAATTTGTAAACTATGATTGTCTTTTTTGTCTTCTTTTTCTGTCAAAAGTGGTATTGCTTCAGTTTTATTTATATATTCAAATTGATTATTTGTACCAGCACATGTATATTTAAAGCTAAAAATGCTTTTTTGAAGGGTCTTTCAAAATCTTTTTAAGTACATGACTATACTACAATGTATGTACAAAATGTACAGTGATAAGATAACTTGAAACAATGAAACCTAACTATTTTTAGATTGCAAGATTCACATACATAAAAGATGGCTTGACCAATTCATGAGGTTGTCATAATGAAGGGAAGTGCTAGGGGCATTCTTGTCCTGTTGTTTGTTGTGTTTCAATGTAAGTATATGTCTCTAACAAGAGGTAAGTTTTCCAGGTTTTTACGTCTTCTCCATGTGCAGTCAAGTCTTTGCCATTTCTGCCATATCTTAACCCTGCTGCAGTGATAAAGAGTGGTGCTAATTGTCTGCTGTTGTTCTCTGTTCCTTTCCACATGTTCTGGTCCTGGTGGGATGATGACACAGAACCACCAAACCTGCACCTCATCTGGACAAGTGAGTTCTGTGTGCTGTCTTTTCACAGACGTATTGTTTTGAGTGGCTGAGTCGGTGGTTTGTGTGTGTGTCAAAACAGAGCTAGAGCACGTTGGTGGTTGACATGTGTCTGGGGGGAAAATCTACAGTCAGGATAACATGTTTTGGGCTTTGTCTTTACCCAGAAGTATTGTTTTGGGTGGCTGAGCCGTGCGTTTGTGTGTGTGTGTGTCAAGACAGAGCTAGAGCATGTTGGCGGTTGATCACATGGGTGGGGCAAAATTCTACAGCCAGAATTACATGTTCTGTGCTTTGTCTTTACCCAGAAGTATTGTTTTGGGTGGCTGAGCTGTGGGTTTGTGTGTGTGTGTCAAGACAGAGCACTTTTGGCATCACGTGGGTGGGAAAAATTTACAGTCAGAATAACATGTTCTGTGCTTTGTCTTTAGCCAGAAGTATTGTTTTGGGTGGCTGAGCTGTGGGTTTGTGTGTGTCAGGACAGAGCATGTTGGTATTACGTAGGTGGGAAAAATTTACAGTCAGAATAACATGTTCTGTGCTTTGTCTTTACCCAGAAGTATTGTTTTGGGTGGCAGAGCTGTTGGTTTGTGTGTGTGTGTCAAGGCAGAGTATGTTGGCATCACATGGTTGGGGGAAAATTTACAGTCAGAATAACGTGAAAAGATCAGACACAGGAAATGGGGTGCAATAAGGTTAACAGCACGAGTGGGGGAAGATAGACAGGCAGAATGACGAGGTAAAACAGACACTGGAAATGGGGTGAGCTTGAGAGTAGGTTGACAGCACATGCCATTGAGGGGAAAAGGTCAGGCACAGAAAATGGGGTGAACTTTGACATCATGATGAAATTCAAACACTTCAGAATCTGTACTTCAGTAGAAATACATGAGAAACACATATGTATGAATTTGCAGTGGAGAGGTCACCACAGAAACTGTGAAAATAAAACATAAGTTTCACTTTCATGAAAATATACAATATGCAGGCTGAGTTGAATATATGTCATGTATATGTTACCCAACAGCTGTAGCATCTCTGACTCTTGTCTTTCTCCCACTATTTCAGTATCCATGTGGTGTTTGGTCATGTACTAGAAGGACAGCAGATTGTACGTTCTATAGAGAACCAAAAGACTGATGCCACCAGTAAGCCATATGCTGACGTTCGCATTGCCAACTGTGGGGAGCTGGTGCCCAAAGCCAAGACCAAGGGTAAGGAACTTGGAAAGCTCATTTAGACTTGAAAGACATTGAAACATGTTGTCTATGTTGTAGAAATTGCATGGTCATCTTAAATATACAATTTGTGTTTTTATTTATTCCTTGATAGTAAATACCAATGCCATTCACTCAGGCTTTACATACATTGTACATGTACGTAACATGTCGGCAGAACGTACTGCACCTGCACGAAACCTGTAATGGCGTATTGTGTATAGTACTTTGTGAGAACCTCTCACGTAAGGTTGTATTTGCGCATATAAGGTTAACATCCCGTCTATAGTTTCCAAATGTTATATTGGAAAAGATATCGCTTGTAATGGGCAGAATTCTGATGCAACGTTGACCAAACATCCAAAGAAATGGAAACCGTGAAAAAATCAGGGTTTGGCCCATGCGCAGTACATTCTGCCGACGTGTTTATGTGCATGTACATGTGCATGTCTGCTGTATTGGTGTACATTTGTACGAATAAAAAATTGAAACTAGAGTTCCCCGATTTCATACCTTCGCCGAATGATGTTAATCTTTATGACTGACAATTTGTAGATTATTCCCCCTGATTGTGCATATAGGATCCTCATTTTCATGAATTATAACCAGACAGTCTTATATTAAACCCTTATTCTGCGGAGTACAACAATTGTTGTTCTGCACATACATGTACAGTGCCATCTAATATATAACACCCTGTATAGGTACGATTTGGGGGTATTTCTCGTGCAATGCATCACACCGCAGCGAAACGCAACGAATGCGGAAGTAACTATGCCACTGCGGGGCAATAAAGTTTGGAGGTCTATGATCTAATTAAGACATGAAATTATTGAAAAATATTGTGCCAGGAATGCCAGCAGGACAAGGGTTAACAAAGAAGGGCATTCTAGCATTTCCTGGCGAAGGTACATGTAATAACATCTGAGTGTATGAATCCAGCAGCAAAGAAGAGAAAGAAGGAAGAGGAGTCCTCCTCAGTGTCGGAGTCGTCCAGTGGGTCCGAGTCGTCCTCCTCCAGTGAGAGTGAGGAAGAGGGGTCCATCAGCGGGTCCTCGGACAGCTCCGAGACGCGCAGGCGCTGGAGCAAACGCAAGAAGAAACTGAAGAAAAAGGAGGCCAAGAGGCGACGCAAGGAGAAGAAGAAGAAAAAGAAATCCAAGAAGTCCAGAAAGGATGGGTACGGAAAGCACTTTTTATATTGTTTTGCACAGTTTCTTCTTCTTCCTCTTCCATTCCAAGCAAATAATAATAAGGTCAATGACCTGGACCAGATGTCTGTCACCATGGTAACTGGTGCTGTAGCAGACACCCTGTGGTGTTGGATTACATTATGTAGCAGGACAGAGTGGGACGGGTGTGGCGGCAGCTGGCTATATTAGTATTACACCAAACGACTTGTTACACCTATAACTTTCGAACATCTAACTCCTTAAACATTGCTCAAAGCTATAAGTAATTGTTACCACAGTTTGCGTGATTCTCTTTATCAAAGGTTTCATTTTTTACACTTGAAAGTAGTCCTCAGGCAAGAGTGTCAATAAACAACCAAAAGTACTGGTTTGCAGTTCATTGTTGATTTTTTTCTGACTTGTGTCCTCAGGTCTGACAGTGATGAGGAGAGTGGAGAAGACAAAGAGGGTGATGTCACTGCTGTGCCGTCATCTGTACGGGCTGAAGACATCCCTGATATCCCTCCTAACAACTTCCTCATGCGCAGGACACCACCAACTGCAAAATCACCACAGGAGACAGCCAGCTCCGGTCCTGCCCCTGAACCAGTGTCCTACCAGAGCAGCCGACCCAAGGTGTCTAAGTCTGGCCGCAAGATCAAGGGCAGGGGAACCATGGTAAGGAAGGATGTTTACTTCTCACTTTCTGCAGGAAGAAACTGTACTTGGATCTGACAGGGGTCTTCCCAGAAATTTTTAGGGGAGAGGTGCTCCCTAATCGATTTATGGCACAAAAAAAAAGTCAGTGAATTTTCATGAAAATACTGAGAGGAAACCCTAAATTTGAACATTTTGGGAAGGGTATCTGTATCTGTATAGCCGGTATAACCGCCTTTCGGCGTAACACACCAACTTGTTACACCTAACCCTTGAACTTCTAATTCTAGACATTGTTTAAAGCTATCTAATGATAATGCCCCTACTGTACTTGGTGACAGCGAATTCCACTCTGCGATAGTTCTAGGAAAGAATGAATTCTTGAACACCTCAATCCTTGGTTGATAACTCTGGTACTTGAAGGCATGGCTATAATTGGGTGCCAGGATTCTGGGGAGAGGGGGAGCACCCTTGCTTCATTGCTTGGGGAGAGCCTGGATCACCAAATTACACTTTTTGTGGGATATTGTGGTTCTTTTTTTACACAGCCAATGCTGTCTCTCACCTGCTTACATTTCAATGCTTGATGATCTTCCTCAGAGCTTCTGACTGGAGTGCTGCTTTTCACTGCTATATAGTTATGTACCTTAACCCATGTTCAGGTCCAGGACTCTGGATTCAAGTCCAGAGGTTTAGGTTCAGCTCCGGACTTATAAGTTTGGACGTAAACCCAGAGCATATATTTAAAGCTACGGTCACCGTGATGGACTGATTATTTGTGTCGTTCCCTTTGCAGCGTTACCGGACGCCCTCCCGCAGTCCCTCTCCAAGCCGCTGGGGGCGCCGCAGTGAGACCCCGCCTCACTGGCGCCAGGAGCAGCTCCGCAGTCGTAACTACGGCACGGAGCGCTGGACGAAGGGCGACAAACTGGCGGAGCAGGAGCAGGAGGAGGAGCTGCAGGAGAGGATCCGCCGCCGCCAGCGCAGACACCGCGATCGAGACATCCGGGATCGCTTCCAGAGAGGAAAGTCTAGATCAGACTACGACAGGTAGGTGCTGTTGGGTTGTTCTGTTGTTTTTCCTTTGTCTTAGGTTTTAAAGCTGTATTATATAACATTGGGACGATACTTTTCATTTCTTTACAAAAAACAATTGAAAAACTATGACACAACACTGGCAATGAAAACATACATTGCCATGGTGACGGTGGTTGCTGTTAGGGTTATTGTTTGCATGGCACTGCCATCATTTCATGATTTTGAGGAAGCCTGAGGAAGTCTAGACAAATACAGTGCACTCCTCCCCTGAGTGTATAGTGAACGAGCCCCGGGATCACAGAAAAGTAGGGCATCCGGGGCAGACAGGTCTTCCCAAAGACTGGAAGACATTCCTGTGGATATTCCATGCCTGTGGAAAAAATTCCCGTACAATTCCTAGAATTCTTGTGAACTGCACACAATACTGTACCATTAGGCTCCTCCCTGAGACGTCGCCAAAAAAGTTGAATCAACCCTAATTCATTACAAATATGTGTTATTAAGGAAGAGGAGGTGCCAAAATATGATGCCTTACGAGTGTGTTTAAAAGTTAGAAACAAGGCTGTCAGCCAACTTTGTTTACTTTCTGACCGCCACAAAATGATTGTATTTCGTGTCAGCTGTTTTAGCACCAACCACAAGTAAAATCTGAGATTTTATACCTCCGGGCTTTTTATTGTATATTTTTGTATAGGGTTTTAAACAAAGAATTTGTCGAGACCGGACACCCCTCTGTGTGTGGGGTCATATATGTGGACCAGACCGAGAATAGCTTAAACAGGCCAAAGGTCAACGGTTGCGACCACTTTCACACTCAAAGGGGTGTTCTGGGGCCACCAAAAGGCACCATTTTCACGCCCGAAAACACATATACAATAAAAACGAAAGAACGTGCATCATCTGCAGCCCAATAGCAAAACATTACCCAATCTCAAAAGAATCCGTCCACCCAAATGCGAGAAACAGCTACGAACCTGACAATCTAAATCTCTCACAAAACCCTTCCGCGGAAGGATGTCTCCTCCCCCGAGGTAATAAATGTCAGACTTGTGAGATGACTCCACAAATATGTCCCAAAAATATTTTTCATTTAAAGCATAATCTCTAAAAATATTACACAATGCCCCTTGAACGACAATTAGATTTAGTGAAGTGGTATTATACTGTCTTGTTTTTAGACTCTTACACTTCACTTCCAAAATCCTACATGCAGTTCTTTTATAATCTGCCTGGTGGCACTTCTGTACTGATATTTACTTTCTTTGGTTCCAGCGAGGAATATGAAAGCCGTGACCGCCACCATTCTCACCGAGATAAAAAGAAGCACAAGAAAGACAAGAAGAAGTAAGAAATTCTATATCCAATCTCTTTTTTCAACTGGTAACTGCTTTTTTTGTAGAAATTGTTATGGTGTGCTAAAGGTATGAAACTAAGGAGCTGTACAACTGCAAAACAAAATTCCATGTTGTGTTTTGTCAGGATATGTTCTGTGTCAGATTCTGTATCTGATTCTGTATAGCCGGTATAATCACCCTTCAGCGTAACACACCAGCTTCGCAAGCACACGGCACGGCAGCAGCTGGCTACATAGCAATAAACTTCTCTTACTATTATTATTTTACCGAACGACTTGTTACACCTAAGCCTTGAACATCTTACTATACTAACTCCAAACATTGTTTAAAATTAAAGCTATCTAATGATAATGCTCCTACTGTACTTGGTGACAGCTACATGTACAATGTAGTACCACTCTAGGAAAGAATAAGTTTTTGAATACCTCTGAATCCCTGGTTGATTTCTTGTTTTTCTTGCTCTTTTCTGAGCTGGTATTAGGTACTTAGTACATGTAGTTGGTACATGTATATCTGAAAAGAATATTGGAATACAGTCATCAATTCACCTTTTCCTGTTTGTAAGGTCCAAGCATAAGAAGAAGAAGCACAAGAAGCGTGTGAAGAAGCGATCTCGGCGGGACAGCAGTGCCGACTCGCAGTCTTCACGGTCTGCGTCACGCTCCAGGTCTCCTGTCAGGAGGGACAGAGAACCAGAGAAAGAAAAGTAAGTCTTTAAACTAGAAATTTAAATAAGGTAACATTTGCAAAGCAAATGCATAATGTTTACCTTCACATACAATGTACATTGTATGGTCTTATCTGTTTATTCTTACTCAAACACATTCACATATTTATTACATGGTGACAGGAGTCTAAATCCCTCCTACTATAAAATTGCAACATGATATAACCCAACACCAGTTACCATGGTGACAGACGTCTGGTTCAGGTCATTGACCAGGGCAGAGGTCAGTGTTCGGAGAAAAAGAGAAAGAAGAAACAGAGCAAAAACATTGGTAAACATAATTATGTCTTTTCACAAGAACCCTGGATTATCCAAAGTTAGATTTGAGTGAATTTTGTACATGTACAGGTAATTAGAGTAGGTACAATTTAAAACAAAACGAGCAAATATATAAAATCCATTCTTTACATATGGAAGTCCTTGAGCGATCTATCAAATTTTAGATTTGAGTGGAAGGAATTTTATACATGGACAGATAATTGTACAATTTAAAAGACAACAAAACAAACAAACATGAAAAATCCATTCTTTATGTATGGAATTTATTGAGTGATTATCTATCAAATCTATCTGTCACTCAGCCTCTAGTGGAATAGGAATGTCATGAAATGATATGTGTATAGCATGGTCCCTGTTACTTGACCTAAAAAGTTCTATCCTGGTATGAAGTATCTTAATTTAACAACCTATCGGCCTACTGTCTGGCAAATACATTGTAGTATGTGGTAAAGTTCTAGCCGTGTATCAACAGGGCTCAAAATCAAAAGTGGTCCAGTTGCCACTGACCACTAAACACTAAAATTTAGGCTGGGACAACTAAAATGACACTTCAGGACATTTTGGGGACAATAGAAAATAATCAACTTCAGATTGTCATCCCTTCTTTTGTTTATCAGGCACATGTCCCAGCTTTTGGATCTGGGAAAGTCCCCCCGAATTTCCTGTCTACACTGAAATTATACAAAAGTCATGTAGTGCGCCTGGGAGTGAACGTAAGCAAAATAAAGTTGACTTCAAATTGAAGTCATACTGTACAACAATACTTCCCAAACAACAGATTGGGACAGTTCATCCTCACTTCAGGACAATTGAAATGTATTTTTGGGACAGTGCTGGGACAATAGCAAGAAAAGTTAATTTTGAGGCCTGAAAACACAGCTAAATGTTCCATTTGTCTGCTGTAGGTCAGAGAGTCCCCCTCCCACCCACTGGAGACCAGGCCAGGCTCCCCTCAAACCACACAAAACAGAACTGCACCGACAGAGGGCGCCGCTCACTAACGGAGAGGACAGGGAGGAGGAGGCGTCCAGTGTCAACGGACGGTCAGTGGAGATGGGAATGAATGAGTGAGTGAGTGAGTGAGTGAGTGAGTGAATAAGTGAATGAATGAGTGTCAATGAATGAATGAACAATGTAGTATGTAAAGATTACCCTTTTTGACATAAAAGACTGCTTTTTTGTTTGTTTCTTTGTTTATCATGGAATCTCCATTGGTGTTGACAATTTAACATCCACTAATCTTCTTGGAGTCCACTTTCATAAAATACATAGTATTACCAGTATTACCATAGTTTTACATTGTACATTATAACTACTATTTGCTTTCACCTTGAAAAATAATGTTGTCTTACTAACGTTTGTCATAATTTTATAACATTTGTAATAATAATGACAAATACAATTATTATAACACCTTGAACATCCATCAATAACCTCATTTAGCAATATTACATTTAGTTATTATAAAATTGTTAGCCTTTTACTAAGTTTCTGAGAGATCTGAGGTCATAAATTTCTCCAGAAGTATATTTGAAACTCTTTGTTCTTTCCATGTATGCTCTACATACACGTACTGTATTCATAAGATTATATTTCTTCCTCTTGCAGTCGGTCCCCTAGCCGGAGCCCCTCCCCCTCGCCTCCCCCCAGACGACGCAGCCCCTCCCCCTCCCCACCCCCCAGACGACGCAGCCCCTCTCCCCCACCCCGGCAGCGTAACCCCTCCCCCCCTGCAGTACAGACCTATCACACTAGGGACCTGGGGAGGCAGGCACAAACCGGAGGTTGGTCTTCTGAAGATAGAGGATCAGACAGGTACGAGAATGGTGTACTGTTGACAGCATGTCGGCAGAATGTACAACTGCACCTGCGCAAAACATGGCACTTCAGCAGAATGTCTCTTATTAGGCCGTATTCGCGCATATAAGGTTAACACTTCGTCTCTGCTTCCCAAATTTTGTGTGGAAAAAAAATATTGTCTGCTACAGGCAAACTTCTGATGCAACGTTTACCAAAAATGTATTAGGAAAACGGTGAAAATTGGGGGTTTTGCACAGACAGGTTTTGCGCAGTGTGTTCTGCCGATGTGCTACTGTAAATAGCTTATATTTGTGTTAGCAAAAGTTTGCGGTCTGAGAAAAATAGACATGTTCAGAGAACTGTGAATTTTGTTTTGAGTAAAAACTTTAGATCCAACACAATTACGTTGTAAGTTCTCTCACCTAGAGCTTTGGACCAGTCACTCTGGTCTTTCTCAGTAGACAGTGAGACTATATAAACTATAATTTATGTTTGCAGTGGTGGCAGGTTGACAAGAAGGAAAGTCAGTGAATTATTTTCTTTGTGGTAATGATAAATTCTGAAGTGACCACAAAAACCATGTACAGCGAATATAAAATGATTTACAGTACACTGTACAAAATGTATTTGTTTTCTTTTAGAAGTTGGTATGAAAGGTCAGTGACCCTGCATATGGCCATGGCCATGGATAGTGATGCATACCGGTTCACTGGACTTGGATCCGGACTTGTAAGAATGTTTAGGTTCAAGTCCAAAAAAACCTTAAAATTCAAGAACCGAGTCCAGACTTATTACCATAAAAGACCATTTCACATACCCCTTTTCTTTCCAAACCACCTACAACCTTCCGTAGATTGCAAAATCTTTGCTGCAAAATAAAGAAAACATTGCCATCGGGCACCGTCAAGTACCGGCCTCCATGTTATGTGGCCAAAGTTTCACCCAGACAACATTGCAAGGTTGCCAACATGCAATTTTGTATATGCCATGGGTTAAGTCCGGACCTGAACCTAAACCTCTTGACTTGAATCCGGACCTGAACCTAAAATTGGGTTTAGGTATGCATCACTAGCCATGGATATTCTCGAGACACTGTGCCTTCCAATTCTTATGGATATCCAACATCACCAAACAACTAATGTTATGTGTATTTGCCCTTTTTGTGTGTCTGTATAGGTATGGAAACCAAAGAAGAATGTCTGACCAAAGATCATCAGGATCCAGATCACAACAAAGATCACGGTCCAGGTCCAACAGCAGGTCAAAATGGAGGGGGCGGTCGTCCTCTCGTTCCAGGTCCTACTCCCGGTCCAAATCCCGGTCCAAGTCCAGATCTAAGTCACCAGTCCGTTCCCGGAGAAGCTCGCGGTCGAGCGTGTCGAAGAGTAAATCTTCCGAGGACTACTCTCAGTCCAGCGACCGCGACACGAGCAGGAAGAAGTCTGAGCGGAAGGGATCCAACTCCTCGCAGAAGAAGATCCGAGAGAGGTTCCAGTGGCAGCCGCCTCTGGAGCCAGAAGACGAGGTGGAGGAACCGGCGGAGTACGGGAAGCGATCCGAGGGGCAGATCTCGGCAGGCGAGCCAAAACCGCGCATCAGGACCCCCCCTCTGGCTCAGATCTGGGGCCACGTGGCCGAGGAGGTGAAGAAAAAGGCCGTGTCCACCTCAGAGTCAGACAGGAGCATCGGCGAGGAATCTCCCGCGGAGAAAAGCAGCCCGCCGAGGAGAGGCAGCAGCGGAAGCGACATGGAAGTCTCTGACCAGGAGAACGGAGGCATCGAGGTGTCCTCTCATTCTAAACAACCGGAGAATAGAAACAAGACCACCGTGAGGCTGTCACCCAGAGAGAGCCCTCCAGCGAGAATCCTCACAGGTCGCAAGGTGGAAATAGTGGTGAGAGAACGGGCTGCAAACCCTCAGCCGACAGGCAAGTGGAAGGCACTGGGAAACGCCGAGGATCTGAAAGATACGGAGATTAAAGGAGGGCTGGCAGTCCTGGAGAAGGAGAGGATGTCTGATAGGTCTCGCAGTGAGGAGGAATCGAAGGTTTACAGGGTCAAACCGGGATCCCTCATCGATGAGGTACAGAAGACGTCCGAGCGCCACTCCAACCGACATCTGAGGAAGAGGATGGAGAGCGAGGAGTCGGACAGCCAGGGCAGCCGCAGTCGCAGCCGCAGTCCCAAACGCTCTGGCCAGCGCCGATCGACTTCTCACCGGCAGTCTGCGGACCGCAGACGACGCAGAACGTCCTCCCGGTCCCGCTCCCGTAGTTACAGTAGGCGCAGTCGGAGCTACAGCCGATCGCGCAGTAGAGAGAGGGCAAGCCGGCGAGAGTCTGACCGCGGGAGAGGAGGTACAGACAGGAGGAGCTGGAGCAGGCGGGATAGGAGCAGGAGTACCGACCGGCGTCGCAGGAGCCGCGAGCGACGCAGAAGTGCCTCCCCTAAACCCAGGCGGCGCAGCCGGTCACGCAGTCAGGGGTACAAGAGGTGAGTGTTGCAGTGGAAGCTTTTTCTAAAAGAATAGTTACTGCCACTCCTAAAACCAGGCATTCCAGTTGGTCACACAGTCAGGGTTACAAGAGGTGAGGGCTGACACTCACAAAATTAAACCTAAAAGTTGTAGTGGTATTTGCGTATGCAGTGGAAGCTAATTGTTAAACAAGACTGGCAATGAAAACATACATTGGGGTGGCGACGGTGGTTGCTGTTAGGGTTATTGTTTGCATGGCACTGCCATGATGTCATGATTTTGAGTAAGACTTGGTTCCTGTTAAGTCTAGACGGATACAGTTCACTCCTCCCCTGAGTGTATAGTGAACGAGCCCCGGGGTCACAGAAAGTAGGGCATCCGGGACAGACAGGTTTTCCCAAGGGTTTCCAGGAATGTGGGCATAGATGTGTCTCAGCAAACAGAACTGGAAGACATTCCTGTGGACATTCCATGCCCAGGGGTTTTTCTGAACAGGGGAACAAGGGCGCTGCGCCCTCATGTAACAAACCAGCGCCCTCATATCAATTTTCAGATTGAAGCCTAAGTCTTTTTCAAAATCATCTTGTTCCAGTAAAAATACAAAACCAACACCACATAACAATACATTCTAGCATTACAAACTATGTTACTCTCATAAAAATTCCAAAATCTTACCACAAACTTGAAAATTTAGCTCTAGTAGTAAAAGTTTGAATGGAATAAACAATGTTCATTGAGAACTTGCTCTGAACATGTAGCTAGACCTCCTTCATTTGCATACTATAGAACAGGCTCTGAAGTGAAACATGAGACCTGAGTTTGTAGCAGCTTGGATGAATGTGTTGCAATTGTGCCATGGGAAAGGTTTCAGCTTGTTGCAAACCCAATGTTGTCATCTGGAGCTACTAGTAACATTGATCACTAATTGTGTAAGTGTATAAAGGGTGATTTGCAGATTGTGTGTACTGTTGATTGTACTTATATTTTATAAGTGAAATATGCAATGCATGGATAGAAATTTGGTAAAGGTGCATTGAGGTTAAGAGTTCAAATTTCCCCCCTCAAGTAGCCTCAAAATGTCCCATTTTAACTTCAAATTTTCGAAGGCTTCACATGGCGGAAGGGGGGAAACCCCCCTTCCGCACCAACCCCCCCTCGGTCGCTTCGCTCCCTCGCCATGATACTGCTCCCTCATGCCAAATTTTTCTAGAAAAACCCCTGCAATGCCTGTGGACAAAATGCCTGTATAATTAATAGAATTCTTCTAAACTGCACACGATACTGTACCATTAGGCTCCTCCCTGAGGTGTCGCCAAAAAATAGTGTCCATAATATAAAATGTTGCTGAATCCCTGCAGGGACAGGAGGCGAAGCTACAGCCGGAGTCGGAGCCCTTCCCACGAGAAGCGCCGCTCTCGGAGTGACAGTAGCGACCGTCGGAACAGGTCACGGGACAGGTCATACGACAGGTAAGGGTCGTTTGATCAATTAAAGTTGTCAGGTAACTCGAGCAAAGTTTTGATGTGTACTTTGCAGGTGTATGTTGAGACATTCCATCCTTTCCTTTCTGCCATTTATTTAACCTTCTCCCTGCTAAAGTAGCTGTTTGGTTACTAGTTTAAACAGCAGGGAGAAGGTTAACTCTCTTCCAACCCTCATACCTCAGGGCTCGAAATACTGGGTGCATGTGCACCTTAGTGCACCCAAATTTGGAGCTGTGCACCCAATTTTTTTCTGTGGATGCACCAGTGCACCCAAATATTTTCTTAGGTTTACGTAATGTAAAGACATTAAATTTATAGTAACTGTTGTATACAGCATATTCTTAAATTCTAAGTGTCAGAAAGATGATAAAATCATTGTATTAGTACGTTTCTTGAATAAAAATTAAACATCAGTTTTTGTAACATTTAGCTGGTGTGTTACAGGCTAGTCTGATACAGATTCTACTTATTTCATACTTTATACGGTGCACCCAAAAATGTTTTGTGCACCCAAATTTTTAGGTTGGGTGCACCAGTGCACCTATTTCCAAAAATGAATTTCGAGCCCTGCACCTTGACTACTTTGCCTCCTTTCTTGCTGTGTTGTGTGTGAAGCACTACCTCCAGTTCCAGCCTTAGTCCCGGCTACAGGTACGTTTACGAGCGCCGCCGCAGGAGAACCAAACACCGGCGTTCCCCCTCTCCCTACCACCACCACCACCCCCGCTCCCGACACAGATACAGACATAGGTACGGCCGTTCTACCGACGCCACGTACGCATGGACCGTGGGAAACTGACACTACTAACAGTGTTTTTACTTGTGAAAAAGCATCCTTTTTTAATGCTGAAGGCTACTGCTTCATTTTGTGGATGAAAGCTGACCAGACATGACTTCATCAGGACCCTAATGCTTACTTATATATTATGAAAAAATTAGTAGATGGCTATGGATAATGAACAGGAAGGTCAAGTTCGAAAATGGGCCTTGTGGCAGGTTCTTACATCTCTGCAGTGGACAGTGTTACAGAGTTTTAACATGGATCTACAGTAGGTTTGAATAGCATGGACTACTACAGGATCTATTGAGTACAAGGCAGGATCTGCACATAACTCAACATTCTGCTTATATTTGTATAGCTTTACACTGAGTATCATCCAACCAGCTATTTCCATTTTTAATAGCGTGTCGATCTTGTTTCGTGGTAGGTCCAGGGATCGTCGCAGGTCAGAAAGCAGGTCAAGACGCAGTCGACACTCTCGCTCCTACTCCAGGTACGTGTTTCATTTATTCATTCATTCATTGTTGTACATGTAATTGACTTGTTCTTTGGGTCCAAAAGCAGGTAGTAAGTCACCAGGCCATTCCTTCCACTTGTGTGATGGTTGGTATTACAGTGTACGTATTTGTATCTTCTGGCCTTCTGTCATTATTATTCTACATCAATTTGTGTAATGCATGTAATCCATTGAAAGTAATAGTGTCTCATGTCTCCTCCACCTATGCACGCTATGTCCTGTAACAGTAGTGTGCATAGTTCAGTAGGTAGTGACCCTGCCTCTGGACCAATAGGTTGGAGTTCAAATCCTAGACGAGTTGTTGTCACTCACCTGACATGCACACTACTGGAAAGGGTCGCAGTCCTTAGGACAGTCCTACGCTACAAGTCCTTAGGCAGTCCTACGCTACGAGTAACCTGTAAATACTGTACATAGTGTCTGTCTTCTCTGTCACGACCAGTGGGAGATTTAAGCACTTTAGCGAGCTAAAACTGGATAATTTTTTTTACTTTTCACCTCAGGTCCCGCTCCCGCAGCTACAGTAGTGACAGTTCAAGGTCACGCTCAAGGTCACGGTCAAAGTCGCGCTCCTACTCCCGGTCCCGGTCTCGTAGTCGCGGGCGTAGTGACCGCAGGCGAGATTCGCGCCGCCGGCCGTACAGCCGCAGTGCCAGCAGGTCCAGTAGTGGGTCAGACAGCGGCAGTCAATCATCCAGCAGTCAGGACTAAATCTCCACCCACCCACCTTCTCCAATAAAAAAACTGATTTCTTCCACGCAAAACCAACCTCCCTTGTGTGATAATGGAAGCTACCAGATTCTGTTACACTTTGGTTACACATTGTTTTATTGTGGAACAGTCCACTTCTTAAGTAGGGGTGTTGTGGACAAGATAATGACATTATATTAACGATTATTTAGTACTACTATACACCTTGGTAATGCAAATTTTTCTGTAGGTAAGTTATACATGTAGTTCGAGCTTATATATAGGATAACAAAAAGCCCTTACCTCAATAGTAGGTGCTCAGATAGATACATGGTAGTTTACTGGAGACAATACATGTAGGTTATACTTCTGTAGACTTTAAAATCTGAATGCTTTTACACTTCATCATAGGAGATAAGATTGAAGAACAATTTAGGAAAGCTGCACAATTTGCAGAAGACTTGTTGGTTTAATTATGAATCAATGTTTTGCTATAATGTTTACCTAATTCAGGATGATGTAAGTAGCTAAATTACACACAAGTCATGTACATGTATAGTCACCCATCCAAAGCCCTGTAACAGAACTCTTATTACTTCAGTTGGTAACAACAAATAAGACATTTTTTTGCATCTGGGAAGTGTTTTGTGTTTTTAGTAAATGTATTGGAACTGTGGAAGGGATTGTACGGTGTAATTCAATCGGGTATTACACCACTCCTTGAATACCACCATCAGGTGTCAATCAACTGTCAAAATCATCTCCCACCCATATATCATTGTAGCTGTACATAAGATCATGTCTTCTCAAACATTTGTTGCTAGAGACTTTTACAGTGTTGGCAGATTTTCACGTTCATGAAATCCCAGTATGGCAACATACAGAGTTATGTGATTGAAATACCTTATTAATAAGTTTGATTCATAGTTTTCATACAGTCTATTCTATTTACTGCACAAAATGTAATTCATAATGTGAATACAGCACTTGTAAGGAGACAATAGATATGGATAGGTTAGACATGGATTTTGTATATCCTTCCTCCAAGATAATTTTGTAGTCTGAAAGAATAGAATTTAGGCATAAAATTAAGGAACATGATGATTATCATAATGATTATCAAATTTCATTTTGTTTTGTATTTGTGTTATGCAGCGATATTCAAGACCTTGTAGACATAGGTAAAGCTAGCTTGGACATTTTAGTATCATTCTAAGAACTGTACAAAGAACCTAGAATTTCATTGCCTTGAACTTGCATTTCTTTCCACACCAATTGATTCTTTCATGATACTGTGGCTTCCATGTTACTGTTTTTCGTGTACGATTAGTGGATAAATAAGCAATTGCATCATAGAACAAGTAAAATCTGAGATTTTATACCTCCGGGCTTTTTATTGTATATTTTTCCATGTTGTTTGTTCTGTATAGTTGATGGTGTTGAATTTTATGTGTTAGATTTAGCGTTCCTGGTTGTGTTAATACAGGACTGGTCAACATTTTCATCTGCAGCCCATACCATGTACCCACGGTAAAAATGCATGTCGAGAACGTCTGAGACAGTATACCACGGTATTTGTAAGTTAAGAAGTCGTACTATACGCCGAAAACATCCAAGATTGCGCAAGAGGGCGTTGACCCCTGACCCATTGGCCCACCCGGAAGTTGCGCTGGCAGCCAGCCCAGCGCCGCGCGCGACCATTTTCAGATTTTTACGCCCCAAAACACATATACAATAAAAACAAAAAAAACCTGCACCATCTACAGCCCATTAGAAGAACATACACCGAGTCCAGTCTACCCCAACGCGAGATACAACTGCGATAATATTTCAAAATACATATCGGAAGCAGACACCCCTCTGTTTGACCCCTTTTAAATGGTAAGACCCAAAACTGAAACCTCCCCATTCCTTAACAACATGGTAAATTCCATTTTCAGCATGGCGGGGGTGTCCGGAGCACTTAAAAACCTTTTATTTCCACGCCCATAAACACATATACAATTAAACAAAAACGTTCTGCATCATCTGCAGCCCAACAGCAATACGTATACCGAACCACAGACAAATCCGTCCAGCCGATCGCGAGAAACAGCTGCTGACAGAAATGTTTCGAACAATAGTAAAACCTCCTCGCGGAAGGATATCTCCTTCCCCGGAGGTAATAAACGAATTACATGATGAATCATCGACTGAAGCTTTCTTTTTCGTCATTTGGCACCAATGTTGTATTGGATTCGGTCTGATAACTACCACTCAATTTCGGTGTACATACATGTACCATGCCCTTACTCTGACAGGTAACCATAAGGTTGCAGTGCTGACAAGGAACAACAGAGGTCGCTTTTTATCCATGCAAAAAGCTGCTGCAGGCATCACTGTCTGCCATGATGTTATATTGGTCACCCCTTGACCCTGATTTAACATGATTGCAATTTTTTGAATGTATCAAATACGGAATATGCTCCATGTACATACAGTATATAAGGGAGAAGTTTTTTTTTTAACAGTGTCGCTCAATGCAAGGCCAATTATTTTTGGCCACTTCTAGGCATAGAGGTACTTATGAGTGAATATAATGTAGTTATGTCAGGAGATGGCGGTGGACCTTTGTTTTGAAGCTTTGTGGATTGTAGTAGGACGGAAAGCAACTGTTTGGAAGAGAGTTACATAATTTTGCAGTCCGGAGAAAGAAGCTGTTGTTGTAAAATGACTTGGAGACAGGTATGTTAACGGTGTATTGATGAGAACTGGAAGAGAACCTAGTGGCACGCTGAAAGTATCATAAATATGCTTGTTTCACTAAAATAAAAACTTTCCAAAATGAAATGAAACACTGTGACACTAACACTGAATGTGTTCAGTATGTTTTACTAAGGCCACACCAATTTAATTTCTTGGTTAACGGATTCGCCCGCTTCATTTTTTTGTGATTTGCAAATAAAAATAAAAATTCAGAATCAACTGTAAAATGCTTATATTTTGCCCTGAACAGTTGAAAACAGTCCTTTTCTTCCTATTTGTTACAGTTATTCCATCTTTCAATGCAATGGTATCATTAAAAGTTCAAAATTCATTGTTTAAATTTTGAACCAGCCTGGTGTGTTGACTTAATGGCTCCTGTTATACCATTTTGGGCCATAATAGGATGCCTAGGCCTGTTTTTATTTTTAATTTTTTTTCGCCCGCTCGCTCCATTATTTTTCTAGAAAAATCCGTTAACCAAGAAATTAAATTGGTGTGGCCTAAGAGGCTGATTTTGCGATCAAGGTAGACCTACAAAGTATCCTACATTTCGTATGTTACTGTTTTCAAAGTTATCAATTATCTGTACATGTACATTCAAGTGTTCTGAGAACTGAATAAATTATATACTATTAGGAAAACATGAAGCCAACCTATTACTATTTGAAACAGGTGACTTTTATGGTACAGCAAATTTTAATAGTTTTTAATTACTCAGCTTTAACAACTGTGTGATCACAATATTAAACAATGCGCCATATTGCATTCTAGTCCTTCCACGACTGCATAGTACATTGAAGTTTGAAAACCTTCAGTTTGTTGAAAATTCACATCAGCTAAACTGCTGTTTGCTGTTGAGGTGAAGCTATTTTTGAGTCTACAGGATTGACTGTACTGTACATACAAGAAACTGACAAGAAAAATATACCCACAGTAACTTTTCGAGAAAATAATAAATACATGAATACAGTGTTAATCCTTGACAAACACAATGACATACCACACACGGGTAGTGTATGTAGTGTCATTTAGCCAGAACTGAAAGACTTATCAATTATAATACAACTGTAATATGACATTATCAATATTGTCTGAACTGTGGTGAAACATTCCCCACGTACGTACATACATGTACATAGTGCCAGATGACCGATGCACTAGTACACTAGAATCCACTCCAACCCTAATTATTTCAGAATAGGTTGTCAGAAAAGCGCCTTTATTTATTTTAAAAGGGACACTTTTTCTCAAAAGAGATGTCAGTTCTAGCCTCTACCAGCCTCCCTAGGTTGATGGAAAATATTAGAAATTGGCCAAATAGACAATATTATATTATTAACAGATCATACATGTAGGAGTTAAATAGCCAGCCAGAGGAATACAATTTTGCAACCTGAGTAGCCTGGTAGAGGCTATGTCAGTGCTAAAATATATACAATGTCATGTATACCAACCAAGGCAGTTGTTACTAATACAGCCCAGTACCAGAAAGTAGTTGGGTTACACTATTATGATACAGTACCAATAAATACATTGCACGGTGCCTCCTCCCAGCACATGAAAATGGCTACAAGGATTTAGCTATAATATTCATCATACTGTAAAATACAGAAGCTACAGTGTTGTACATGTAGCTTGGCAAAGATGTCCAAACTTGGCCCAACACAACAATGTAAAATGTAGATGTAGCCACGATAATTTAATTTATTGGTTCTTGAATATTTTTTTTAAAGACAAAGGCCACACCAATTTAATTTCTTGGTTAACGGATTTTTCTAGAAAAATAATGGAGCGGGCGGGCGAAAAAAAAAATAAAAATAAAAACAGGCCTAGGCATCCTATTATTGCCCAAACTGGTATGATAGGAGCCATGAAGTCAACACACCAGGCTGGTTCAAACTTTAAACAATGAATTTTGAACTTTTAATGATACCAAATTTGCATTGAAAGATGGAATAACTGTAACAACTAGGAAGAAAAGGACTGTTTTCAACTGTTCAGGGCAAAATATGAGCATTTTGCAGTTCACTCTGAATTTTTATTTTTATTTGCAAATCAGAAAAAATGAAGCAGGCGAATCTGTTAACCAAGAAATTAAATTGGTGTGGCCTCAAAGTACATGTAACAGGGTGAATAAAAACAGGCCTAGGCATTCTATGATAGCCCCAAATGCTACCATAGGCCTTATGATAGGGGCCACAAAATCAATGTGCAAGTGTGCCATGTAATTAAAGGAATGAATTCTAAACTTTTATCAAAGTTTCCCACTTCAGTGATAGATGAACTGTAACAACAAAGAAGACAATTACTTCTGAATCAGCACGTTGATGAAATATGAGAATTCTGAAGTTGATCCAAAACTGTTTATTTTTTGCAAATCTGAAGTGGGCTAACCCCAAAACCAATTGATTGAATTGGTGTGGCCTAAAAGGGATAGACACTATAACTTATAAGAGGCAATGAAAAGGAAAAACTTAACCGTAGCTCAGTCTACTGCATTCTATATTTCATGTACATACACACCAAGTGTAGGTACATAACCAAATTTTACCTCTGAGTCACTATTATTTAATTTTAACTGTAAACTGTTGTAGTTGTATACAATGACTGTCATGTATTCTACAAGTTCAAAAAAATCTACAAAATTTACATTTCATACAGTTGAAAATACCTTGTAGTAGTGTGTCTTTTTACTGCTGACTAAAAACCCCATTTACTAGAAGACTACCACACATGCATTCATACTGCATAAGAATACATTTACACTGACAAGAGTGTACCTTTAATTTACACTTCTAATTTTGTATGAGTACATACATGTATCTCTAATATTAGTGACTGCACAATAAGCACCATCACAATTGATACCTTCACACTAAAACTATCAAGCTGAGCTTGATATGGATCTGCACTTTGAAAGAGCACCTTTACTCAATCACTATCTTCACACACTACAAGTGTATTATTTTCTATTCTACACATGTACATGTACCACTACCAATTTTGCAACAGTTTTTGCTAATGCTCACTGTGCCTTTGCACTACCATTGCCATTTTTGCACGTGCACACACACATTCGCACTTCCATATTGCTTTGGAACTCCTAGAATATGGAATTTGTCACAATTTACAGAAAAATGTCAGCTTTAAAAAAAATTTATGATTGAATGCCACACTATTTCTTGGATTCTTTAAAAAAATGTAGTTAACTGGCCAAACATGAAAACAATGTCAGAGGACCAGGTTGATGCCATGGTGTGCTCATTTCTTTAGAGTACTGGTAAGGCCACACCAATTTAATTTGTTGGTTCTCGGATTCGCCTCTTCATTTTTTTCTGCTTTGCAACAACAACAAAAAAAGATTCTGGACCTGAATCAACTCAAAAATGCTCATATTTTGCCCCCAACAGTTGAGGAAAGTCCTTTTCTTCCTAGTTGTTACAGTTTTTCAATCTATTAATACAGTGCTTTGATTAAAAGTTCAAGATTCAGTGTTTAATATTAACCCAGTCTTTTGTGTTGACTTCATGGCTCCTATGGTAGCATTTGGGGCTATGCCTAGTCCTGTTTTTATTATTATTTTTCTCGCCCTGTCACTTCATATTTCTTCTGAAAAAACCTGAGAACCAACAGATTAAATTGGTGTGGGCTAAATACAGTCATAGTCAAATTTCCCTCCTAGCTCTCTGATTTTATGATGTCTGCTTGCCATAGTGTGAAAATGTCTTAAAATGTTTGAGAAATAAAATTGGTGTGACCAAAGCAAGGTGGACAATACTTACATGTACATTGTACATGTAGCTGACATCCATACATGTACATGTGTAGGTAACAATGTCATTGTCCTCAAGCCCAAGACGAACGCCGAAATCAACAAAACCGTGACAAGGACAGTTAGACCATTTCCTGACTCAAAAACCAGGTCATTTGGTCAGTGGATCACCACATATGACTGGGAGGAAGTGCTAAATGCCCCCGATATCCAATCCAAGACAGATGCCTTCTACGACAAGGTACATAGCAAACTTGAAGAACATTTTCCAACCAAAACCATCAAGATGCACTGCAACGACAAACCGTGGCTCACCCCTGAAATAAAGAACCTTGTACAACAGAGACAAAAAGCCTTCGCCAACAAACAAGACAACACATGGCGTGGTCTACGAAACAAGATCCAAAGGAAGATTAACAAAGCCAAGAAAAGGTTCTACAAGACGAAAATACAAGCCCTCCGTAAAGACAACCCTGCTCAGTGGTACCGAGGAATAAAAACCATGCTCAACACACGTGCCAAAGAACTCATACTTCAAGTCGACGGAGTTCACCCTGAAAACCCCAAGGCCATTGCTGATGCAATTAACGACGTGCTGTCCCAGGTGACACGATCACTCCCACCGTTGGACCTCGAACGACTACCAGCCTTCCTTCCAGCAATGCCCCCACCAGTTATCACACCACGGGACATGTACGAGAAACTGAGAAGAATAAAAGTAAGGAAAGCGCCCGGTCCTGATGGTCTGCCCAGTAGGATTATCAAGGAATTCGCATACGAATTAAGTTTGCCAATGTCTGACATCATCAATTCCTCATTGTTGGAAGCACATGTACCCGTGCAATGGCGCGAAGCCAACATAGTCCCACTTCCGAAGACATGCCCTCCAGACATTGATGAACTGCGGCCAGTGTCTCTTACACCAATCCTCGCCAAAGTAGCAGAGAGCATCATTTGCTCATGGGTACTTAAAGACATCGCTCCCAACATAGACCAGTACCAGTTTGGGTGTTTAAAAGGGAAGTCAACTACTCACTGTCTGGTAGATATCGTCCACCAACTAGCCAAGACATCTGATCAACCGGGCTCAATAAGCACACTTGTACTCACCGACTTTGCTAAAGCATACGACAGAGTGGACCATACGATTGCTGTGTCGAGTATCCTAACTCTAGGCCTGCGACCTTCATTGACCAACTGGCTCATCAGTTTCCTGACGAACAGAAGACATAGAGTCCGTTACAGCAACACCTTCTCAGATTGGAGAAATACAACATGTGGTCTTCCACAAGGGACTGTGCTTGGTCCCATTATCTTTCTGGCGCTGATAAACAGCGCTGCCGAGAACGCAGTCTCCATGAGATGGAAATTCGTTGACGATTTAAACTTACTTGAGTGCCGCAAGGTGAGGGAACCTCCCGCTATTCAGCAAGATCTCGACGAGCTCAGCAAATGGTCAACAGAACAGAATATGAAACTCCATCCCAAGAAATGTAAAGTGATGTATCTGAACTTTTCAAAATCTGTACCACAACTACCCTCACTCAAAATCGACAACTATCCCCTAGTACAAGTCAAAGTGGCAAAACTTTTGGGTCTTCATATCCAGTCTGATCTGAAATGGAACACTCAGGTCGACCATATGGTCAAGAAAGGAAACCAGAGGCTATTCTTCCTGAGGAGACTCAAGACATTTGGAGTTACGAGTGACGACCTTGTCACCGTATATACAAGTTTTGTACGCCCGACCTGCGAGTATGCAGTTCCAGTCTGGCAACCGGGCATCACTCAAACTCAGAGACTCCAACTGGAAAGGATACAACGCAGAGCGTTCCGTACCATTCTCGGGGCACACTACACAAGCTACACGGACGCTTGTCACACCCTAGGCCTCACGACGTTGCACCAAAGACGCGAACACCTGTGTGAGACTTTCGCTAAAAAGACTCCTACAGTCAACCTGCTTCCGTGAGTGGCTACCTCCCTGCCGAGGAGAGATTAGCGGTAGAAAGACACGCAACAGCTCCCACTTGGACACTGTCAAAACAAAAACCGAACGCTACAAAAAAAGTCCTATACCTTACATGGTAGCACTACTTAATATGTCTTAGTCGTTTACCGAAATATTGTAAATAGGTTTTTATGCCTGCTGACTGTGGTTTTAATCTTCTTAAAAATGAATTTTTAGCCTTTATTGTAATAATGACAGATATCTTATTGATGACTGCTCCGAGAATATATTCCGCACGATGTAAAGTATTATTAACTAGTTGATCGTAAGTACAGTAACCTTTATTCAAATATGAGTAATTTCAAATACCTGGCGAATTTCCGTGTAATAATGTTTTAGTGACTGAATATCAGTAAATCATGAGTTAACTATTGTATAACCAGTGTAATTCAGCGCGCAATTTTGTGCGCTGCGAAACTGTGGTTTTGTTACTGTGAGAAAGAAATAAACCAATCACTACCACTAAGGCCTGGTAGTCTAACTCTAAAAAAGCATGGAATGTCCCTTGATTATCAATGCAGATATGTCATGACGTTCCCTCAACACACAGTGTTCAAGTTGGTCTATTTGCAGTATAATGTGATTGTGAACAAGAAAGGAATGTGACTTTCAATGTTTCAGAACTCCTCCATTTTTGTCAGTTTTGGAGGGAACCAGAACTTTCTTACTGTAAGATTTGAAGGGGATGAAAATAGGTAACTGTTACAATATTAATTAATATCAGAATCATTTTACACATAGAAAAAATGTTCTCTATGAACTGCAATAAATTACAACATGTACATGATCATGCGCAAAGAAATTAAGATTCAAATCATGGTCATTATCCAAAATTCTCACTAACTCCATACTTACATACAGTACAAATAAGTCTAAAGGCAACTATACAACCATTACTGGAGGGATATGATTTAAGGACTGTGATGTAGATGGTTTAAATACTGTCCGACCTCTCCCTTAGTCTCAAACTCAGCCTGCTTAGGCTGAGGCTCATGCCCATGCCCACTCCATCAGACAGGCTGGACACACTGCCAGTCTCTGTCAGGCTCTCTACCGAGTCCTTTCTCTCCAGGTCCGCCTTGATCGCAAGCAAGTCCGCCGACGTAAAGATACTGCCGTCGTCCATAGGGCTGGCGTCTGATTCCGTCAAGTCTAACGATTTGGTCGCGGCTCGTGGCGGTCTGAGTGGAGAGCCGGCGCTGGTACCTGAGTGGGTGTGAGGGAGAGTTTTATACTCGCCGCCCAGAACTCCGGAGTGAGATCTCGGCGCGTACAGGTACGGCCCCGGGTTGGACGCCGGCCGCTGTAACGATGACGCTATCCCCGGACTGGAGTGAGACTTGGGCGGAGAGATTCCGTACGCGTAACCCTCCATACTTTTGTTGTCGTTTAATGACACAGAGTCGTCGGCGATCCCAGAGTCTTTAGAAATTTTACTGGCTGACACAGGAGAAAACTGTAGCTTTATCCTGACTGGATCCACATTCCTGGGTGAAGACAGGACGATCCCTTCACTGAGAGAAGAAACTACAGGGCTTGATGCTGAAGGACCTGCTGCCACAGGGCTGGTAAGGAGGGGTTTTTCCTGAGTTTTAGGAGAAGTAAGGTTCTCTTTTGAATTATCCTCCACTTTTCCATCCTCCTTGCCTGTCATGTCATGAATGTCTTTTTGCACCGCTGTCCCAGCATCGCCCTTCCCCTGAAGTGAGGAGGGTCGGGGAAGGTGTACGTTCTCCCCCACACCCTGGGGATCTTCCCGTGACTCCGGGGACCCCGCTTCTGCCCCCACCCCGCTCCCGCGTCTCTCCTTCCTCTGCCGATGGATGCCTTCAGAGATCTCCTCCAGGTTTTTCAGGGCGAGGGAATATTCAGCCTTCGACTTCAGAACTCCCTTCTCTAACCGCTCAACTCGCAGCTTCCTTTCCTGTACATAACAAGAAACAATCATAATACTGGTCTTTTATTCACTCATCTATTTGTGAAACATTTACCACATTTGTGGAAGGATTGACATTATAGGTGACTACCACCTCTTCAAGATGTCAACCCTGCGACCAGACTGTAATGTTTGAACCACTCACACCCATCATAAATAGTTGGGGTCCATCCTAGTGTGAGTCACCAGGTTCAAGCCTTACAGTCCAATCTTATGTAAAATACTGTAGTGTACAAGATGATTTACTGACTAAAGGTGGTTATGCTACTTACATGCAACAAAACAAGTAATAACTATATAGTATGTGCAATATACAAGTAACTTGAAAGTTGAATGCACAACATTAGATATAAGATTATAATTGTATTGCAATGTACTTACGTCCAAGTCTTCTTGAATTTTGGCCTTCATCTCAAAGTAAGGTCTGAAATGACATGGCAAAAAATATTCTCCAGCAAAATTCAAAATTCACATTAAGCATAACAGTTAAATTAACACACATTGTCAATTACACACATTGTCCTAGCATGCACAAGCTGAAAAATTTAATAACAAGCATACTTTTATTCATATGTTAGAAACATCCATAACTTAATATGATTTTTAGTATCAGAGAAATTACATGTGTCTCCTTTGCCTAGCGCCTTTTAGAAGTAACCCTCCAGATTTTTCATTTCTAAAAGGCACTGTTAGTACTTTAATATTCCATCTGACTTCTTGATTCTGTAATTTCGTTCTTGGTTGATTTTTAGCTGTGATTTATTCATGTCTACAGATGTTAGTGCCTGCAAGTTCCCAGAGCATGTAGCAAAACAAGAAAAGCTGAGGAAATTTTTTTTTTCTTTTCCTTTTTTCCTGCGTCTTATACTTTTCTATTGTGAAACCAGTAAATTGTGTAACCTTTATTAGTAGTAGGAATAAATTGATTTCTGAAAAAAATGAATTGGCCATAGTATGTAGCAATGTTTGGATACACTTTACCACATATGTACATTGTAAGACAAATGTACTGTCCATTCTGATTGGTCCAATCCGAGTGTGAATAGTTACTGCACCTCAAATCTGTGTTGTCCAGTTTGATTGGTTTGTCAATCTAACACCAACTTGCCATCAAACAAACTGTTTTTTCTGACCCACAATACACATAATAGTTATTACTTTTTGAAGCAGCTGCCAGTTCTAAACAAGTTATCTGTCTAATGTCTACTAAAACTAGGTTGTGTAGTTAACCTTTAGTTCAATAACAAATTTGTATTTATTATGGCAGCAAAATGGTTTATGTAGCCACAGAAAGGAGAACAAGTGCCTAATATATGATTTAAATGAATCAAAAAACTTCTTTCCAAACATTGTGTCAGCTTTTTTGGTTTGAGAAACAAGTTCTGACAAGCACACTGGAAGAACGTTCTTGGTGAAACCCATAATATGCTGTGCATTGCACTTTGACAGAATGGATTTTTGTAAGGTGCATTTGCATATTTTGTAAGGTTGTATTTGCATATTTTGTACTGTAAGGTTGTATTTGCATATTTGAGCCCGACATTCCATCCTGTCTATAGTTTTCAAATATTACTTTGGAAGAGACATCGTCTGAAAAAGGCAAAGTTCTACAGCAACTTTGACCAAACCGTGAAAAAAAATGTGTATTTTAAGCAGGTGCAGTACGTTCTGCCGTTGTGCCATTCTGACATACTCTGGAAACTTGCAGGCACAAACACATGTAAGCTTTACTTACAACAAGGCCAATTGGTGTTGCTGAGTTAGAGCATTGAGTTGGAGCAAACTCCTACGTGTGGCAAGACTGCATGCACAACAACACCCACAGATAAACAAACAAACAAATAAACAAACAAACAAAACAGGGTAAGAAACCTGGGGAGTTAGTAGTTAGAGTTGTTTTGTGGGATACTGTTTAGCTGTAGTTTAGCTGTATGTTAGAAACAAAACAGTAGAACTGGAAAAGAATGTAAGATAAACTTGAGAAAAGTTATATCTTTTCCTTAACTGTCAACATAAGGCCACACCAATTTAATTTGTTGGTTCTCGGATTTTTTCAGAAAAAATATGAAATGACAGAAGGGCGAAAAAAATTGAAACTGGTCTAGACATCCTATTATAGCCCCAAATGGTACGATAGGAGCCATGAAGTCAACACAAATCAGAAAAAAATGAAGAGGCAAATCCGAGAACCAACACATTAAATTGGTGTGGCCTAAAGTAGACCAGATGTTAGAGCATGCAGTACTTAGTACAAATGTATGTAGTGCTATCATTCTATAATATCTGTAGAAAAGATGGCCCAAGTGACATTTTTGATTTCTGAATCAGATTTCCTGTCTAGAGAAGTGTATTAAGTGCATGTACGTTAGTAATTCAGTATGACATAGAGAAAACAACAAAAACTAACTTTGTCTTTGGTTGGCAAAGTTTGAATTAGACAAAAGATCCGAGTTCGCACCTGGACTTGACGATGGCCCGTTTGAGGGCCTTCTGAAGCATCTTGACGCGTTGTTCGCTCTCGTTAAACTTGCGTGCGGTGGCCTGGTGGGCTATCTCACTAATAAACCTCTCCTTTTCTGCTTCATTTACCTGCAAACAGGCAGAAGTGAGGTCATTTCAAGGCATCCAATGCAATTTCAGAGCAGCAAAACTGGAAATATTCTAAATATGGCAATCTTTATGATATTGACACATACTTCTTCTTATTAGCACATTTCAATCAGTATTTCATACTTTGGGTATTTAAAACTGCAGAAACAAGCCCCAAGATTAGTCCTTTATTTTCTGGGTGGTACCCTAAAAATCAGCCAAGGGACCTTCCAGTAACCATTTTCTGTCAGAATTTGGGGCATTTTTTTTTGCTCCATGAATGTCGATATACTGTAACACTTTGGGACAGTGTTGTTTCAACTTAGTGAATTATATTGACTTTGAAAAAACTGTTTTTCAAGCCCTTAAAACTGCACTGGCTGCATTTACAAAAATGTATGCTGGCAGCAGTGTTCAGGGTATGATCCTGGGTCAAATTGGACTCAAATTTAACTCAAATTGATTTCAATTCATATAGAAAAGTAGACCTAGCCTAAATTTACTCTCGAACTTCAGCCAACCTTGGTAGAAGGCTGGTGTTCAGGGGCAAGGTTAAGAAAAGGTCCTGAATGTGTGAAAGGGGCTTAATATAACTAATTTAAGACATGGTGTAGTCCAATTCTTTAGCCTTTAAAACATGTGTATTAAGACACCAAAATGATTTGATACCATGGGTAGTTATTGAATAAAACCAGGTTTTCAGTAATGGTGGCCTTAATTTACACACTGTAAGTCACTATATGTTCACGGTAGAAAAAGTTAGTCTGAGAAAAATGGACATATACACGGAAGTACATGTATACTTGAATATGTATATTCAAGGTGGCAACAAGTGCAGAGAGTCCAGGAATAGTTTGTTGACTGTAATGATAAGTTCATGGTACAATGCACACTTATCGGTCCCTGCCACCAGACTATAAGGTATAACACTTTTCCCAGTTTGCAAAGATGACCTGAACACAGACCTTAGTTGTAGCGTGGTTGAGCATCTCCTGCCAGGTGGTATCGAAGGTGTGTCCCTCCTTCAGCAGTCCGTTCTCCGCCACGGCCACCATCTCCTTCGCCGCGTTGTGCATGCTGGTGGCACGGTCAAACCGCTGCACGGCCTTCTGGGTCTCAATCTGGGCCTACAAACACAAAAAGAAATTTAAAAAATTCAACAGCTCTTGGTCGCAAATGTGCTGATGTTGACACAATGGTGCACCAAACCCGTAGTGTGTTTTTGGCACACAGTTAGACAGATTGTTGAATAAGCAGACCTAGGTTGAAATCTCCCAGTACCGGACCAATATAGTTTTTAATCATTAGATACTTCTGATCTATATCTGTGTACAGCCAGTATTTGTTTATGTTTGTATCTAGTTTGTCAATGTCCTTTGTTTGTTAGCTCACCTTATTGTTTAATTGTTTTTAAACCTGTGTACGTAATTCAGCGGTATTGTACGCTGCCATGTACAAGGAGTGTTGCCAATAAACTATTATATTATTATTAGCCTAAAAGGCTCGGTGGGCGTCACTCCACCATACATGGTGGGGAAGTCGTGTAAAGTGCCTTTCCCAAGGGCACAACGTCGGACCACGGTGAGTATCGAACCCGGGACATCTCGGTTCCGAGTCCAACGCTCTAACCATTGCGCCACCGACGTCTACAAACACAACAGGAAGAGAAACCATCAGTCTATATGGTACTAGAGGTATGTTTCTTCCTCTCCTCCTTTATCCTTCTCCTGCCAAAGTTTTCTTTTAATATTTAATAAGGCCAAACCAATCTAATTTGTTGGTTCTCAGATTCTTTCAGAAAAAATATGAAGCGACAGGGCGAAAAAATGAATAAATAAAAACAGGTCTGGGCAGTGGGCATCCTATTATAGCCCCAAATGCTACGATAGGAGCCATGAAGTCAACACAAAAGGCTAGGTTAATAATATAAGGCCACACCAAGTAAATTTTATGGATGACGTCCGCGCGCGCATTGATTTTGGCCTGTTCCTAGAAAAAAAAACAAGAAATTCCGCTTCCTGTAACTATGACCAAAGAGTCACGACAGTGCCGCAAATCGTCCGATTGACGTGAAACCCGTAACGCGAAATGGGTAGTAAAGCACATGTGCCGCAAAACGATGGTGTACGTGCGCACAAGAGTCCGCGCGCCACAGTTCAAAGAAGCAAGATGGTGGGCTCACCACCCTTGGTCGCTAAGTATGTGAGCGTTAAGGTCGTAAAACCGTGTGGAAACGTTGTTGTTGACTGGTACGTGCTCGATGTAGGCCAGGGAGAGCTAACTTTCGCGTAACTGTACGACAGACTTGTAGCGGCGAGTGAGTTTCGACCATACAATTTCAAGCAAGTTTTGTCAAGATCAGCTACAGTGCAATTCTTCTGCAAAATTATGACGAGAAGGTCGGGAGGCATTTGATGTGGTGTTTCATCCGTATGGTGATCAACAAGACAGCTTCTACGACTGAAGCTGTTCCTAGGGCTAAGACTGCTTTTGAGGTATGAAAAGTCTGTTTTGAATCGAGTACCTTGTATGGAAAAAAACACGGGTGATTCACTGAAATATTCCTAGAAGGGTAGTATAAAATAAATGCATAACGTTACATGTATCAAGGCTCCTCGCATGTATTTTGCATGGATAATGATCGTTTATTCGTTTCTGGTTATTTATACTTGATGTTGGCAAAATATGTGTTTTTTTTTATTCTTAAATTTTTGGTTCACATTTGGCAAGTAAATTGCTAATTTTCAGTCGGATTTTTAAGGTATTTTGGCATCTATAGCTACGCATTCAAGCTCAAAGCTCTTTTTGAAGTACTATTTTGGGGGGGGGGATTTTTAGTCTTTCTTAAGAATTCTTTTTCCCCATCATTTTAGCTTTGATATCCAATTTAGTAACGTTGTCTGCTCTTCAATTTCTTTGATTGCATTAAGACACATTTATTGTGAACTAAGAACATAAGGTTTACTTTTCCTTTCACATGTACACATGTATACAGGTATGATGAAAGCATCAAGAGAACAAGGTCAGCAGGAGTAGATGTTTCCAGCCTACGCTGGGACTGGGAGC